GTCAATCTAACTTACAGTGCTGCGGCATATGTAGCACAAGCCATTAAATGGTTTTGTCCGATATCATGGATGTTTTGTCCTTTTAAAGTATTAATTACTATACGCATGAGAATCGATTAAAATATGAGCATCATTGATTTTTTTTTTTTTTTGTTTGTGATGTTAATATGGTATTTTACTGAAGCACTCGATGTGGGTTGTTTCAGTTGGGGTGACTCACCATCATGATGCTAAGAGGAAAATGCTTTGACCTGATTGGGGGTTAATGATGGCTATTATTAAAGAGATAATAAGGTCTTGGTCAGAAGGGCTTAGTGGAAATGGGAAGCCAATGGATAGGGGTTAACTCAGAAGTGGGAGTTGTGCCCAAGTTTGGCTCTGCCAATGTGGCCAAGAACGGCTATATGTGCTATAACATTGCTTTTTCACTTTAATTTCTTTTAGTTGACACGAGATCATGGGCTGTAGGGTAGTCTCATGGAAAGAGCTAGTGTATGTCTTCATTTCACTGAACAATTTGGCATGTGCACTTATATGTAATCTTAACTTTAGAACAAAATCAAATGGCATATATAACCTGTTACACAACACACGCAACCCATCAGTATGGTCTTTTGACTAGTCATTGGATGAATATTACAGGTGACAGATGCAATAGCCACAATAATGCAATTAATATGTCCAAGAATTGCCTATATCTAACAAATTCTACTTTGGGTTAAGCCAATAATTATTCATATTAGCGATATTAAGATCCATAGCATATACAAATAATTGTAATAGAGGGCTTGGATATTTCAATACAGGGCATATGTTGTGTGGTGTGTTTTGTTTTGACGATGATAAACTGCCTATGGAAAATGCACTATCAATTTCAGAAAGTATGTTTTCTACACCTAGCTATATGCATGTGATTCAAATTATTGCATAGAAATTCGACCAAATTTCTGGTAAGAAATGAAAACCCAAAACTATTATCAGGTGCATATATTATCTTAAAAGCTTCCTGTATATTCTGACATACTATTCTTTTTCTTTTGCAATAGCTTTGTTATATATCTAGAAATAAAAATATATGTATATATGATTGATTGTACCTTAAAAAGAGACAATCTGTTTTCTACAATACTCTCCTAGTCTCCTCCATATACTCTCTTTGAACTAATATATGGCGCCATTGACTTTTTAACAAACATTTGACTATTCATCTTATTTAATTTTTTTGCAAATATAAAAATATTTAAGTCATGCTTGAAAAATATTTGATGATAAATCAAGTCAAAATAAAATAAATAATAATTACATTTTTTTAATAAGAGAAATGGTTAGAAAAACAGAGTATGTTCAGGGAAGGAGGCAGTGTATATACCTTCACCTGGAGATAGAGATGAAGAGCTAGTAGGAGCGTATAGTACGGATCTTTTTGCATGTGTATACATGGTGATGTGTTAATTAATCGAAAGAAAAACCACACGTTGGGAGTGGATTGGCCTTGTGTGCACATTCCATTCGCAGAGACGGCAGCGGCCGGTGCAGCACTGGGATGGATGGATCGACCTGGTGGTGGCTGCTGGGTGCTTCTGTTATGCGCGCGCGTGCTCAAGTGCATGAAACCCCCGCACTCGCGCCGCGATCGACTTGGATTTACACAACATCTGCACGCGCGCGCGGAGGTGCTCATCCAGCCGGTGATACTCTGCGACCTGCCCTGCATGTGTTCCCTAGCTGTCACTACTAGAAAAATCATTTTACCAGATGGTCAAAAACAGTTTTCACAAGTGAAGGAAAGGACTGCCTAGACGCAAAGGCCTGCAAAAATAGTTGAATTTTGCAGGCGGCATCACCATCTTCGCAGACGGTAGATTCACCCGCCATCAAAAACACATTTCAGCGAATAAAAAAAAGCCGTACCACCCACGAGCGCCACCGCGGGCCTCCCCCTCCGACCGATGGCTCTCCTCCATCCGCCACCGCCCCTACAGGCGTCATCCTTGTCGCAGCATTTTTCGTTGTCGTCGTCGCGTCAGCGCTGTCGTCGTCGCGTTGATGCCATCGTCGCGGCGGTTGTTGTCGTCATTGTCGTCGCGTCGGCGCCACCGTCGTCGCGCGTCTCCTCCCCCTACCCACAGGCGGCGCCGTCGTCGTCACACGTCGCCGGGAGAGGAAGGAGCCAAGTCGCCGTCGCTGAGAGAGGCCGGATCCGCGCGCCCGGGCTAGCTGGCGGCGGATCCATAGGCGTCGGTGCCATCCGTTACAGCTGGTGGCGGAGGCGGCGAGCTGCAGGGGATCCACACTCCCAGGGCGAGCCAGCGGTGGATCCCCAGGCATCGGCGCCATCATGGCCGGCAGCGGAGGCGGCGCCGCGGCCGGCAACTGAGGCAGCGACGAGCTGAGCCTGCGGTGGATTTGTGCTATGAACAAATGAGAGAGAGATAGAGAGGATGGGGAGGGAAATGAGTGGTGGGGAGAGAATAAGGATGGTGGAGAAGAAGATAAGGATGAAACTTAGATATTTTTCTTGGTAGCATGATTTTTGCAGGCGCACTATATAAGGTAATCCCTCATGTCATAAATATTTAACATTTAGGGTAAAATTTCTGTCAAGCTTTCAAGGCTTTATCTGTTAATTTTATGTAAGAACAAATTTAAAAAAAATAGTAAGTTTACGATATTATCACCTCGGATGTTGTGGAACTTGACTCCCATGTCACTCTCTAGAGAGATTTAGGAGAGGCAACTGCCCCTAAACTCCCACACTCCACCCCAAGACCTCCACAACTTGACACTTCTAGTGATGGGCGATGGTGCCTTCCACCCTCCTCCATCTTCACCTTATTGTTTTCTCTTTCCTCCTCCATTTCCCTTCCTCATTTTTTACCCCGCTCTAGAATCAAGTAGGGTGTTGGCGGTCGAAGTACAATTCGTTGCACAAGGGCTTCCCAGCAAAGCTACATGAAGAGGTTGGACAAACGATGGTTGTTCGGCGGTACTGACAGTACTACGCGGAATCACAGAAACACTCTATGTGGGATAACACCATGTGGTGGCATGGGCTAGTGGGATGACACTCTATGCCGGGGTTGTTGCCACTCTTCGCTCATTCCACTTCCTCCATGAAGCTCTTCCTCTTCTAAGGTTGGTCTGCTTCCAGCAGGGTTGGAAATTTCTGTCATTTCGGTCCCCTCCGATACGATATTACTTCGGCCGAAATTTTTCAATTTTTTCATGAATTTGGGTAATATTTGTTCAAATTCAACTAAATTTTGTTCAAATTTTCGAAAATTTTGGACCGAAATTTTCAAAATTTCGGGATTTCGGTGACCCCCGATCAAAAGCCCTAAGCCGATATAGTGAACCCTGGCTTCCAGATCTGGATGTGGGGAGCTCCGTGACATGGTACGGTGGTGGATGTCAGCTTGGACAAGAATAGTCAAACATTTACATCAGTGGTTTAGCGACTAGTGGCTAGGAACAAACCTGGCCCCTAGTGCGCAAATAGTGTCAAGTGGTGTGGCTACACAACAATTAGTAAGGGATATGTTGTTTCATTCTATGATTGTGCATGGTTGCAAATGATGCCTTGTGTTGGGTGTGACCTGCTACGAGGAGTCGGAGTTGTTGCATTGGTCATTGAGCTTGGCAACAATGACATTTGTGAAGCCAATGTTGTTGTGGTGATATAGAAGCTGTGGTCGTGGTTGTTAATGCTCTTCTAGCATGGTGTTGACAGTGGTGGCCATGTTAACCAACATGGGGTGTGAGACAAAAAATTGGTGACTTTCCTCATGGGTTTGGTGGTTGGGTAAGCGTTTTAGACAAAAGCATTGTTTGGCTTGTTGGTACCAGTATGATTTTTGTAGGCACTGTTCATCTCATTGGACACGTTGCTATGGCGTTTTTACCTCCTTCCGACTTAGGGGAGTTGTTTGGGTGTGTACCTAGATCTATTTTAGATCACAAAATGTCATTTTGTTGGAGTTTTCTACTTACATGTATCACCTTGGCCCATCCCGATTCGCTTGCTTAGGGTATTTGGTGATGTGCGGGAGAAACCCGTGACATCTTTTGATGGAGTTGGTGTTTTCATTTGTTGGTGGAGGTTTTCGTTAATTAATCATGCTACTAGTAAGTTTTTTTTCCTAATTTTCCTTATGAACTCTATAGTGAAATGCATTAACTTTCTGCCCTTTTATAAAAGATTCTTTGATAAAGATAATAACTTTCCAGGCAAATATATGCATGATGTTTTTGTTTTATGAAAAATTAGCATTTGAGAGGCTACTGATGGTCAAAGGCTTGAAAAGTTTAACCGAATCATTTGTGAACGCCAAATATTTACGACCAAGGAGATCAGCAGTTACCAAAAGTTAAGAAACAATTTGAGAGAGAGAGAGAGAGTGTGTGTGTATAACCAAGACAATCTTTCATCTGATGTTAATGCCATAATGTAGCTAAGAGCAAGGTTAACAGTATAGCCAACTACTAGCTCCAAACCATTTATAGCCAATTTAATAGCCAACTCATACAATAGTTGTTTACTATACTATTAATACATGGTCCCACCTGTCATACACACATTACGTCTTAGAGTCCGTGCTGCAGCTGACTACATATCTGTTGCCTACTGCTCTTCTCTCTCCTATTTTAACTTTTTAAAATATATTTACAGCTGGCTTATAGTCTGCTTATTGTACCTGCTCTAAGGAGCTCTTCAGTTAATCCGAGACGCAGAAGCAGAAGCTGGTCAGGTCAGAAAAGAAGCTCTATGGGACTGTGGCTACTCAACCTGGAGTAAGCTAGGAGGATTTCGAGGCAGAGGATCTGAGCACTGCCGTCGCCATCATGCCGCATGCGACTCCTTTATTAGTATTTGTTTCTGTCATCACTGTGCTTCCCCAGCCGGATTTGTTTTTGTCGCCTCCTGTGTCCACTTCCTCCACAGCAGCTTGCCGGCCTCCTTGCTTTGCATTGCATTGCATTGCCCCTATATATATACTCCTATGAACCATTGCGCCTCACTGCCACACATATCGCTATCTCTGCTAGATACCAAGTGCAACTGTGCAAGTGCAAGTCCAAGTTCAGAGAGAGAGAGATCGAGCTAGCCTGACTAAACTTGAAAATATTGCATTTGCGTCTTTGATCTTAGCTATAGCTTGCTGCTGCTGCTGCTGATAGTTTAGCTTGAGAGAGCTAGCGGCAAGAGCAAAGATGGTTGGGGCCGTGCAGGAAGGGATAGTGCGTGAGATGAACGGAGGATTCGAGGTTATGAGCGGGTATGACAGGTCGTCCATGGCGCCGAAGCAGCAGCAGAGGGAGGAGGAGAGCAAGTGGTACGAGGAGGAGATCGACGACGACCTCAAGCTCTGCTACGCTCTCAACAGGTAAATTAATTTATACTACTCCCTCCGTTTCAGATTATAAATCGTTTTGATTTTTATCAAAGTCAAACTGCTTCAACTTTAATTAAATTTGTAGAAAAAAGTAGTAACATTTTTAACTCAAGACAAATATATTATGAAAATATATTTAATTATTGATTTAATGAAACTAATTTGGCATTGTAAATATTACTATATTTATCTACAAACCTAGTTAAACTTGAAGTAGCTTGATTTTAACCAAAGTTGAAATGACTTATAATCTAAAACGATGGAGTACCTGTATATTAATTATTACTATCATGCGTGCATCACAAAGAGTTTGTGTTATCGTTGACTGTCAAAATAAAGCAAAAATTTCAGATAGAGGTCCCAGGACAATGCCTACAAATGTAGAAACTTATAATTTCAGTAATCGGAGTACTAAATTGAGTAATTAACAAGATATATAGGTGTCTCTTTCAATCTATGCATTTTGTTGCCATGTGAGAGATGATGTGCTTTGCCTAATTTTCTGGTGATGTGAAAGTGTGTTGCACCGGGGAGCAAGCAAGTACCAGGAGATCGCTCTCATTGATACAAAGCATTTTGGCAAGGTATCTGTCCATTTCTGCCTCTCTTTTTTCTTTCTTTTTTTTAAAAAAAAAGAAACACAGAAGTCCTATATATCATTTCTATTCTTGTTTCGTAACACCAACTTGTGTGGTGTAATTTAGTACTCCCTTCGTTTTAAAATATATTAACCTAATACTAGTTAGAAAAATATATTTTAGTACTAGTTTGCTATTTTTAAAAATGAAGAGAGTAAGTAACTAGAACACTGATATGACACCCTTTTTCTACCAGGCTCTAATAATCGATGGGAACACCCTTTTTCTACCAGGCTCTAATAATCGATGGGAAGATGCAGAGTACAGAGGTGGACGAGTTCATCTACCATGAGTCCCTCATACACCCTCCCCTCCTCTTCCATCCCAAGTACGTTAAATTACCATCGCGCAATCAATGATCTCACAGCTGCTTCCTTCATCTCGAAATATATTAACGACTACCTCCTATTCTAGTCAAACACTAATCCAGATTCTTTAGACATGTAAGTATATATAATAAAATAGATTCTAATCTCTCGAAGGTGAGTACGTGCAGCCCAAAGACGGTGTTCATCATGGGAGGCGGCGAGGGTTCCGCGGCGAGGGAGGTGCTCCGGCACAACACCGTCCACAGGGTCGTCATGTGCGACATCGACCAGGTACTCGATGATCGATCTAGATTGCACCGTTGATTGATATATATGCAGTACTACCTCCGTTTCAGATTATAAGATTTTATATGTCTAGATTCATTAACATATATATATATATATATATATATATATATATATATATATATATATATATATATATATATATATATATATATATATATATATATATATGAATGTGAACAATACTAGAAAGTCTTATAATATAAAAACGGAGGAAGTAATAGATTCTTAAATTAAACTGTTGTTTTGTTTCTCTGAATGAACGCATATGCGTGGGTGCGTGATGATAATTATATTAAGCAGGAGGTGGTGGACTTCTGCCGGACGTACCTGACCGTCAACTGGGACGCCTTCGCCAGCGACAAGCTCTGCCTCATCATCAACGACGCCAGGTATGTACCAAATCATATATAGAAGGTGGTCAGGTGGACATACTAGTGTTCTCTATTAAAGATGACGATAAAATTAGAGTATGAAACAAACTATTAACATGTGATTAATTGAGTTTTAAATATTATAAAGTTGAAAAATAGATTTATCTGATATTTTAAAATAATTTCTACGTATAAAGTTTTCGTACAAAATATACCACTTAACAATTTAAAAGCGTGTTAATGAAAATCGAGATAAAATCTGTATCTTAATCTGGAAAAAAGAACGACCATATTAATGCTGCAAACTGAAAATGAATCAGCATCATGTATTCATGTGTATGTATGTTTTCTTGATCGGTGTGTGCTTATATGCATTTGCATGCAGGGCGGAGCTGGAGAAGAGTAGGGAGAAGTTCGACGTGATAGTGGGAGACTTGGCTGACCCAGTGGAGGGGGGCCCCTGCTACCAGCTCTACACCAAGTCATTCTACCAACACATCGTCAAGCCCAAGCTCAACGACCGCGGCGTCTTCGTCACCCAGGTACGTATATAATTTTTCATCAACTCTTTGCCTAGTTATTTGACTGAACTCTGAACTTCTCTGAAATTTTAGCGTTTTTACTGACAGTTGTTTTGGCTGTTGACAGGCAGGGCCAGCCGGCGTTCTGACCCACAAGGAGGTCTTCTCCTCCATCTACAACACCCTCAGGCATGTCTTCAAGTGTGAGTAGCCCAGCAATTAAAGACTCCCTTAATTATATTTTTTGCTATATGCATGGGGTGATTTTGTTTTTGTGATTCTGATGATGCATTTGTTAATCATATCATACCACAGATGTCAAAGCATACACTGCTCATGTGCCATCCTTTGCTGACACCTGGGGCTGGGTCATGGTATGTAGCTAGCCACCTTATTACAATATTACTTACTGAAAAGTTCAGTTCCCTTTCTATTCTTTTTAGATGGTTTTCCTTTCTGCTAGCATCAATTAATTAATCCGTTGCTATTCTTCTTCCTATTATTCCTTTTGTATGTAGGCATCAGATTATCCATTTAGCATGAATGCTCAGCAAATCAATGAGAGGATCAAGGAGAGGATAGATGGGGAGCTGGTGTACTTGAGTGGGGAGTCCCTCATTTCCTCTACCATATTGAACAAGAGCGTTTACCAGTCGTAAGTAACTATCAGTAAAGATCACTGTAAAAAAAAACTACTATACTTATTTTCAGCAACACGTGAAAGATGCAGGTGGCATCGATGCTTAAGTGAAAAGATATTCAGAACATTGCACTGACTGAACTGTAATTTCTTTTCTTTTTCCTTGAAAAAATAATACTCGCAGGCTGTTGAATGAGACGCATGTGTACACCGAGGATGATGCAAGGTTCATCTACGGACATGGAAGGGCACGTTGTGCTTGAATCCCATATCTTACACGCATAAACACCTGAGCAAAATGGTGATAAATTAGTAGCTATTTTCCAACTTAAGAGGTCGAGATGCACAAGTGTGGATAGCAAGTCTGAAATTGATCAGTTAGCTACTAGATCTCCAGATCAACCGATCGAGAACAGAAAAAAGAACAAGTGATCGATGCAACTTTGTGAAGAACTTTTTTCGCCTTTGTTTTCCTACGTGAGGCGAGGAAAGAACTGAAAAAGAACTAGAATGGAATAAAAACTATATAATGCTCTCCATGCATGTGCATGTTTCACTCTTTTTGTTCAGCGTAAATGAATGGTAGCTCTCTTGACAAGCAGACCGCATATATCTATCTGGTGGCATGATTGTTAACTTTTGGGAATTGGGAGAAGAGATGACTTTTTGGAGATTGAACCTGTTCACTGCTAGGCTGTACAAGAGGGTAAGAAAAGACTGAAAAGGTCTTGATACATTAACACACATATATATTAGGCTGCGTTTGGCAGGGCAGAGAGAAATGGAGCCATCGTTTCGCTTATTCGCGGAATAAGCGAAACGACATATTTGCAAACGAAAAATAATTTGTGAATAAAACTTTTATATACGTGTTCTTAGCGATCTAAAAGCGAAGGCTGAAAAATAAACTTCGATAAAAAAAAACCTTAAAATCAGCTTCGTATTTAAGGTTGAAAATTTAAGATTTGGCTGATAAGTATAAGAATAAGCGAAAATATGAGGCCCAAAAACTCTTTTGTATTTCACGCACACACTACCTGAACTGTTAAATGATATTTTTAAAAAATATATACATATAAAAGATGTTTTGAGAAATCACATTAATCTATTTTTCAAGTTAAAAATAGTTAATACTCAATTAATCACAATAATGGTTCATCTTGTTTTACCTATCTTCTCAAGCTTCTTCTTTCCCCCACTCTCAAACACACACACCCAAATACAATGTACTTAAATACAATGTGTGTACAGTAACATTGCATTTGAAGCTACAACTATATAAATCCAAACTCGTTCCTTTTGCACGATTTTAATAGTGAATCAGATTTGGCTCCTATATGAATTCAAAATGGACTTTTTCTTCCAAGCAAGAAACTCCCTGACCGGGCCGTACAAACCCCAACCTATTTTGATCCAGCCGCGCGCGTACTCCCCCTTCACGCGGTTTTCCCTTGCCGAGGCCGACCGACCTCAACCCCTCCCACCGCCCAGCCGCCCGCACCCGCGACAGCCGTGTGATGCGATGCGATGCGCTGCGAGCCTGCGACACGGGCCACGACGTACGTGTGTCTCCGTGATGCCATGCAGATCGATGCATTCCCCCGTACGCCGCCGACATTAGCTGTCCGCGAGCCGCAACGCGCGACCCTGTAGTAGTGGTACGTGTCTAATTGCAGAATGCAGACCCAAGCTTTGGCCCCCCACGCGACCGACGCGTCCCGATCAAAAGTTGATGTCAAGTACAAACAACAAATCAACAGAATATATATAAATTTACGTATACAAATTAACGACGAACTATATGTTTGTAGTATATATATATATATATATATATATATATATATATATATATATATATATATATATATATATATATATATATGGTTTAATTTAATCGTAACCATGTCCTAGTGTACTGTTTAGTTACATGTAATTAGTGTGTGTCTAGTTGGGCTTCCGGCAGTTGAGCCTGACCTCCACCGGCGTCCCGGCGGCCGGCGCGAGGTTCCCCATCTTCACCATCGCCTTGGCGAAGTCCCTCGCGAACTTCGCCCCGTTGCCGGCGTACTTCCGCACCAGCGCGTCCTGCGACGACGACCTGCCGCCGCCGCCGGCGGCGAACAGCTCCTGGTCCGAGTGCAGCAGCCCGCGCTGCTTCGTCAGCTCGCGGAAGTAGCCGTTGTCGAACACGTCGGGCGTCTCGGCGTCCAGCGGCGCGAGGTTGCCGTCGCCGCCGGTGCCCGCGGGGCACAGGCGCCGGAGCTGGGCGGCGAAGGTGGCGTTCACGTTGGCGTCGCCGCCGTTGACGCGGCCGCGGAACGTGGCGCACCGGGCGCGCCCCACCGTGTGCGCGCCCGACAGCGCCGTCATGTCGCGCGCCGAAAGGCCCTTGGCGGCGAACGTGGCGAGCAGCGAGGTGAGGCTTGACACCGGACCGGGGAGGTTGCCGTTCGCCGCGGCCTGGCTCGCCGTGCGGGCGTCCTTCCGTCCCAGCCTCACGGGCCACGTCGTCCCGCCGAGGAGCGCCACGGCGTCGCGCGCGGCGAGCGCGAGCACGTCGGCGCACGACACGGTGGCGCGGCACGCCGCCTCCACCCGCGCCTTCGCCGCGTCCACCACCTCGAACCCGCGCGCGGAGCCGGCGTTCGCGCCGGCGCCCTTCTCCCCGGTGAACCCCGGCGGCGCGTCGTCGAGCAGGACGGACCCGTCGCAGCCGTTCACGAAGCAGTCGTGGAAGAAGAGCCTGAGCACGGACGCGCCCATGCGCCGGTCCGCCGCCACCGCCCGCGCCATCACCGACCGAACGACGGACTCCACGGCGGGGCACGTCTTAGCATAGTACCTCGTCGACAAACCCTCCGCCACGCCGACGCCGCCAAAGCCGCCATGGCAGGAGACGGCGACGAGCAGAAGGGCACCGAGCAAGAAGACCCTCCGGCCCGAAGCAGACATTGCCGCCATTGTCGCGGAGAACTTGGCGTGCCGCGTCGGGGTGGCGCGCGGCGGCGACGATCGAGGTGGTGGTATTTGTAGTGGCGGGAAAGCATTTATTGTAGGGGGGCATGGGAGGAGGGAAGGAGGCAGCTGGCCATGGCTGCGGTCGGTTGACCGCACGCGGAATGGGTCGCGTCGTGGGCTGCTCTTGTGCTCGGTTTATCGATGGATGGATCGATCTGGCGTCCGACGCGAGCGAGCCAAGCTGCTGACCTACATAGGAGTGTACATGTTGATGAGGTGTGGTGTAGTAATGACTTGGGGTTGGGACGTGAACGTGACGAGCTGAGCTAAGGCTAAGAGATCGGGTGGTGTTTTCTTTGCTTCTACTCCATTTCCGGCTCTATCTGCTTTTGTCGTAGTAGTAACAAGTTAGCACTAGTGCTGCTGTTGCGTTTTCCTTGTGGCGACTCATCAAGTGTAGGTTCGAGCGAACACATGCCGTGTGCCAGTGCCAATCAACTATGTTTGAGCATCTCCATCTGACTTCTTCAAATATCTATTTAACTAGCTTGCTAAAAAATAGAGAGTTAAATTTACCTTTCACGTCAACAACCTTTCTATTACACTTTTCAATTTAACAACATCTATGTGCTTCTTCCTCCTTCTCTCCCTACCCATCCCATCCACCTCTCTCCACGTTTGGGCAGGCACAGCGACGACGACAGACACTAGGGTACTAGCCAAGAGGTGGGGCGATTGCAACACCGGCGAGCCGACTAATGGGGGTCACCACCGTTGGTGGATGGGCCATCCTCATCAAACAGTTAGATCCTCGCCTCCCCCCCCCTAGGGTTGCCGATTTGGCACCTTGCGCCAACTGCTACTCCGTTATCGTCCTTTGCTCCGCATTTGAATATGGGCACCGCGTCAATGGGAAGGTGAGGCAGACGCGCCAGAGAGTGAGGTGTAGTTGATGAATGGCGCTAGAGGTATGTTGGTCGATGCTAAAGGTCAACAACAATGAAGGATTCTGGAGGAGAGAGAGAAGGAATTAGGAACGAAGATGTATGGGGCCACCTGTTACTCAGCGAGTGTGCAATTGTCAGATTTGGCCAGCCGAATGGCTTGGCCAACCGGTTGGAGGGGCTGTTAAAGGATTTTTTTTTGTACTTATTAAAATTTAGCTTAGAGAGCTATTTAACTACTCTTTTGAAGATACTCTAACCTCCAAGGCAACCTCATTTCAAAAAAAAAAACATCCAAGGCAACCGTGGTCTCTTGCACTAGAGATGAGGCTTAGAGCCTATTTGAGGAGCTTAAGATTATGAGATGTGAGATGCAGTTGGTTGGTAGCCACCTTCTGAGAATCAGCTTATGAGAATATGGAAAAGCTGGGTTTCCCAGCTTCTGTCTTCTAATTTATTTTCTGGATTTTATAACTACAGCTTCTTAAAATTTGGACCAAAAGCTGAACCGTTTAGAGGAGCTTTTGATTTTTAGGAGAAGCTGCACCGGCTAAAAGCTCTCAAAAGGCCCTTAAATATGGTCATGGCATCGTCACGCCATGTCCAGGTAAAGTGGGCTTGTTTGGACCATAAAACTCGATCAGTATTTGGGCCTTTGGTCACGGCCTCATGGAGTTACGTCATGGGTCAGCCGGTGCAGAACGGCAACATATGTAGTTGGCAGTTTGGCATTCACAATTGCACAAGCCCCTGATAATGTAGGCGCAAACAGAGGGTTTGTTTGTTTGTTGCAGCAGCCTGTGACCGTGACGATCGATCTCATATTCTCATTATTGCGTTGCGCATGGGATTCGCTCATGAACGAACCGATGAACCGTCGTGGCTGGCTGCGCAGCCGCAGCGCGAGCAAGTTCCGGCACGTACGACGCGCCGACGTCGCGAGAGGCTGCGCGCGAGCGAAGGTTTCCTCCTCATCCACCGATCCACGACGACGACTGTGCTGCTGTGCGCGCACGAGACGAGATGGCCGGAAGGCGGCCGATCGAGCTGTGGCTACGCGCCGCGCAGGGGGATGGATGGATGGATGCCTGGATGGTGGCGTTGGCGCGCCGAGGCGGAGATATCCCAAGAGTTGATCATGGCGTCCGTATTCCGTTGGGGCTCGCTCGGTAGTCGAGACGCGGTTTACGCGCGCGAAGCTGTTGCGCCAACCGCCAATATGCATCAATCCGGGCAGCCGCATACCCGCGCCGGTTTTGCTATCCCGGCCCATAAGGCCCACGCACGCGCGCTAGAATTTTTTTTCCGCTGGCGCCGGTTTTTCCGTTTTCTCTTCTGTTTTTTCTTTTCGTGTTTTCTTTTCTTTTTTTTGCGCTTTTTTCATATTATACTTTCTTTAATCTTTTAGCACACGTGTTTTTTATATGTATTGAGTTGAAAGTTTTAAAATATTGACTTGAAAATTTTCAAATCTAGCAAATTTTTAAATCTCGAGTGAAAATTTTCGAATCTAAGTCGAAAATTTTCAATTTTTTCAAATCTAGACTTGAAAGTTTTCGAATCTGCTCATGGGCTTTGCTTGGTCGACTGCCCGATCTGCTCATACCTCTCTGATTCTCAGTTTGGGTTTGCCCTGGCTAGCTCGATACAATTGGGTCTGTTTGGCTGTCCGTACCTAGATCAACCAAGACCAGACTGAATAGCATGAGACGTCCGTTGGCTGGTATAGTGTAAATTTTTTTTAGATAATAGAAATATATAAAACCCGGCTTCTACACCGTGTATACAGCCACAGTGGTATAGTGTAAATGCTCCTATGTATATAAGGTATTATTTGGTTGGTTCTGAATCATATGTGTAGTTACTTTTTCATTTGATTGTGAGGTTACCTCTTTGACGTATAATACTATTGTTAAGTTTTAAGCATTTTAAATTATAGTAACCAGTATAGTGGCCCGCGCTAACATCATTATATTTTCTCTTATATAATAACATATATGTTTTCTCAACGTATTATTCCAATATATTAAATGACAACATAATTTTAAATTTTGTACTAACTTTACGAAACTACTAATGTGTAATATTCATATTGTATTTTATATACGTGTTGGTTATTAATTATTTTTAATATCAAATTTTAGTTATTTGTAAATTATATTCCTATATTCCTATATGTTCTTTTTTTAATTCCAAATTTTCGTTAGCTGTAAATTGTATTTCTATATAGACTCTAGGCTCTTCTTCCAATATTATTTATTTTTAATTCTGAATTTTTATTATTTCTAATTGGATTTCTATGTAGACTCCAAACTCATCTTTCAATATTCTTTAATTTTTAATTTTGAATTTCAGTTACTTCTAAATTGTATTCCTATATTGACTTTAGACACTTCTTTCCATGTATTTTTTTTAATTTCAAATTTTAGTTATTTGTAAATTGTATTTTTATACGAACTCTAAACTTTACTTTTAATTTTATTATGTTTATTCCGAATTTTAGTTAGTTTTAAATTCATATATAGACTCTATACTCTACTTCTAATATTTCTTATTTTTAATTTCGAATTTCTATTAATTCTTAATTGTATTTCTATATGGACTCTATACTCTACTTCTAATATTCCTTATTTTTAATTCCGAATTTCTATATGGACTCTATACTCTACTTCTAATGTTCCTTATTTTTAATTTCGAATTTCTATTATTTCTTAATTGTATTTCTATATGGACTATGTTTTTCTTTTTCTTCGATTAATATGAGAATTTTAGGCCATGAGAGCGAACACGGAGACTCCTTTTTACTCTAATTCTAATATTCCTTATTTTTAATTCTGAATTTCTATTAATTCTTAATTGTATTTCTATATGGACACTATACTCTACTTCTAATATTCCTTATTTTTAATTCCGAATTTCTATTATTTCTTAATTGTATTTCTATATGGACTCTATACTCTACCTGTAATATTCCTTATTTTTAATTTTGAATTTCTATTATTTCTTAATTGTATTTCTATATGGATACTATACTCTACTTCTAATATTCCTTATTTTTAATTCCGAATTTCTATTATTTCTTAATTGTATTTCTATATGGACTCTATACTATACTTCTAATATTCCTTATTTTTAATTCCGAATTTCTATTATTTCTTAATTGTATTTCTATATGGACTCTATACTCTGCTTCTAATATTCCTTATTTTTATTTCCGAATTTCTATTATTTGTTAATTGTATTTTTATATGGACTTCTCCTCTTCCAATATTCCTTGTTTTTTAATTCCGAATTTCAACTATTTCTAAATTGTATTTCTATATGGACTCTGTTTTTCTTTTTCTCCGATTAATATGAGAATTTCTAGACCGTGAGAACGAACATGGAGGCTCTTTTTTCTATTCCATTAATAAGTTAATAGATTTTATATTACTAGAAAGAGTGCCCGTGCTTTGTAACGAAAAAAACTACTACTTAGTTACAATCGTGACATCTTGTATGTTTAATCTTTGAGCGTTATGGCTCGTGACATTGGTTGCATGGCTGATTATTACATCACGATCGCCTCACCCCGATTTCTAGAATCGCATAACACTAAATGGTGGAATTAAGGGAATATACATTGGAATCCTAGAAACAAAACAGACACGGTCTCATAAAAAACATAATAGGACTTGTCGTGCAGGAAGCGCGAACAAAATAGGATTCCGAATTCACAAACGATAGTACTAACTGGGATAAGAACGGGCCCACGTGTGTTTATGCAGTGGCCTTTGAAATAATGTTGGGGTTGAACCAAATAAATTTCAATGTTCAAAACAACAATTCACCAACTGATAAATATATTTCACACAATCAATCTTTCATCTTGCCACTAACTTTGAGGATATATAGTTTCAACTAGCAAATCAGTAGCGAAACAACAATAAACACATGTACACAAAACACGATGATTTACGAGGAAAAAACTCCTCGATGTGAGGAGTAAAACACCACGGAACCAACGATCCACTCTAGGCTTCTACTATAATAAACAATGGATACAAATGAAGTCTTCTCTAAAACATCTAGAGACAAATCATAACAACAATTGTATCATCAAATTACATACTTGGCATCACCAATATCAACCATGACAACTAATAAGAGGTATAACAGCAGGAAGAAGAGAAATAATGGATTATGTCCCCTTCGGTTCTCAGCTGATATCTTCCAAACCATAGAAGCAAATTGCATGAAACATGGCAAAAATGAGCTGTCCTAAAATTAGCCCAATCGAACATCGTTTGACCCCTCAAACTTACATTCTACCAAATGCAGCACAAGCTGAAACTGCAGGCACTCGACCTGACAAGCCACTACTCAAATCAGGTGCTCCAAGTTAGGAACAAACTCACCAAGTTTGGTGCAAATCCGACCACATTTGAGCCTCTAATCGTTAACTCAACGAAGATAGGGTAAAAGCAGAACAAAATGCAACTCTTCATCTCCAGTCTCCTCTTCCTCTCTTGTGTTTTACTAGTTGCTTCTCATATCCAATGGATGTTGCAGCTCACACACACTCTCTTGGGTTTTTCTTTCCATCACAAAAGGATGAGATCTCCACCATTGATCAATTCATTGTTCAATGGCTCACATTTGTTAGACTTTTGAGCTGTAATAGGCTGGGAATAATGGTACATGAGGAGGGAACTTAGCCCAACAAATAAAGATGTTTCTTCTAGTCTGTATTTCAATTGGTTGTTATAATTCTTCTACACGTATAAATCCAATTTGGTCGTGCATGCTAAAAGAAATCGGGGAGATAACATAAGCTGTGGTTTTTCTAACCATTTACCTCTTGTTCTACTTTTCGTGATGCATGGTCAATTGAAAATTTTGGAACGGATTATTCGTAGAATTATTACCGCTGATTTTCTGATTGTATGGATAAATCAAATATTTTAAGAAATAAAGTGAACTAATAGTCTAAACAATTCGATAGAAGAAAGTAGTTAAGAAAAATATATTTTTAGAGGTGTGGACCCAATAATTCGATAAAGTAGTTGAAAAGAATTGTACCAAAATTTGGTTAATTGGGTAACTAGTAATTCAGTAATTTATTTTGCAAATGCAAGTGTTGGTAGTGGTTGCACATTGTTTACTTTGATTCGATTGGTCATATAATAATATCAGTGTTTTTTTTATAAAGTAAAAGTTAATAAGTAATATGTTGATGTGATGTACCTGACTTTGGTATTTGTAATGTAATGGGGACATTGGTATGAAGGCATACATGAGATTGCAACAAAAAGACGGGAAACAGGGATTTAACGGGTAATAGCCCAACTCCTATTGATCGAAACCGGTGTTATCATTATATAATCAATCGCTCATAAGTACAATAGAGAGGAGAATCTAATCGAGTCTCTGTCAGTCTAGCAGCGTAAAGCTCGAGTAGGTGGTCGATGGCTAGCTAGTAGCCATTGGATTTCTCAAATAAGAACTCGACGAGATTGAGAGGCTGTTATAGATCCCTATTGGCTTTTTTTGGCACTTGTGGATCGTGTAGGCTTTGTTTGGGTTTGTCTTGGTATATCTTTTGGTATTTGCTTGCGGGTCTTTTATATCCTCAGATGTTTTCTTATCCAAGTAGAATTAGGGAGATAAATATAGAGATGATCCCTTGTAATGCCTGAGTAGAAATTTGCTGATCTTTTCTTATCCAGGATTTTTTTTTTGCCATACCGGACTTGATACATGATGGATCCTACCAAATCTTAGTATATAATTATACGACATCTCATATGAACATCGACATAATCCATCGTAGGCCAACTTCATGTGCTCCAATTGTCTGCAATTTTGGTCATTGCTTTAGCAATTAGCAGAGGGGCTTTCGATTTTATCCGTTGGTAGGAGCCACTCTTTAGAGCAAGTGGTATCATGGAGCTCTTCAACGCATATATATGGATAACAACTAGCTTTTTTTTTTATCATTGAGGTCATCTTCTGTTTTATAAAATAATATCATAAGCTGCAACTGAAAATATTGTAAAGAAGGATACATGCGCACCACCGATAAGTTGAGCGCAGAGAATGTTCTTCAACTATTAAAATGGAAAAGAACATGTTCAAAATTCAGATGCATTAGAGAAACCACTTTATGAGAAACAGGTCATGCCTCCTCATGATTTCGAAAATTTTTCTTTCTCCAATCAAGCCCAGGTAAGCTACACAGACAAGCTCACCAAGTTGGTTGGTTGATTAGTCCCTTTCGTAACATCTTCAGATCCATCCACAAAACCACATCGTTCCGGACGGAGTCGACGTATGCATTTTTGCCGGATTTTTTGGTCGCTCTTGCTATTGTATCCATCGAATTCCTTTCTGTATCTTCCCAAAACGACATATAGTAGGCCAATATTCTTCCATCACGAGCAGAAACTGATCACTCACGAGTCACGACCACACCGCTCACTATTCAGGACTACACAAAACACATCATGTGAATTTTTTTCCAGTGATTTGTTGCTACGCATTTGTCAAGTCTACTGATACTACTGTGATAGTGATCAGCAGTAGTACTATCACAGTAACATCACTACTAGTAACAATCGGGTAAAGTTCTTGTGTTCATTGCAAAAATCATAGCCGTCGCAATAGTTACATGGTAGCTGAATTAAGCAAGGTTTAATTAATTGAACAAACGGAAGAATTATCCACTAGTGATTGATGTCTAAAATTGGGACATTTCTATTGCATTCTTATGTCATAATTCACTTAATACATGAAATTGACAGCTGATTATATAACTTTAAACTTTGTACTATGAACAATTTGCGCGCGGCAATGCTATCTAGTAGTATCGATCAGGAATTCACTTTCCTGCAGTTGAGCCTGACCTCGCCGGTTGACCCGGTCAACGGGCCGATGTTCCCGAGCCTGATCATGGACGCGGCGAAGTCCGACGAGAAGGCGGCGGCGTTGGAGCTGTACAGCTGCACCACCGAGTCCACCGGCCCGTTGTTGAACAGCTCCTGGTCGGAGTGCAGCAGCCCGGCGCCGGCGACGAGGTTGCGGTAGTAGCCGTTGTCGAACGCGTCGGGGGTCAGGGAGTCCAGCGGCGCCAGCGCGGCGTCGCCGCCGGACGCCGGGCAGGACTGCCGCTGGTGCGACGCGAACGCCGGGCTCACGTTGGCGTCGCAGTAGACGCGGGTGCGGAAGTTGACGCAGCTGGCGCGGCCGACGGTGTGCGCGCCGGACAGCGCGGCGAGGTCGCGCGAGCTCAGGCCCTTGGCGGCGAAGGCGGAGACGAGCGCGGAGATGTCGGCCTCGGGGCCCGGGAGGTCGGTCGACACCGCGCTCCGACTCGGCGACAGCGCGTCGCGGCGGCCGAGCGGCACCGCCCAGCTCGGCCCGCCGAGCTGCACACGTGCGCACAACAGGGTTTGCGTCATTGCGTCGAACACATGGCGCGCGCGCGCGCGCGTGTGTGTGTGGAGTGTGTGTGACTGACCAGGTTGACGCTGTCGCGCGCGGCGATGGCGAGGACGTCGGCGCAGGAGACGGTGGCGGGGCAGACGGCCTCGACCTGGGCCTTGATGGTGTCGACGAGGTCGAAGACGGTCGTCGAGCCGACGGCGTTGGGGCCGACGCCCTTCTCGCCGGGCGCCGCGGGGGTGTCGTCGAGGAGCACCGACGCGTCGCAGCCCTGTGAACCCCAACCCCACAACACAAAATCAAAGCTTAGCAGTGCGCGGAGAAGAGGCAGCATGTGTTCGTCCGGACGGCGGCGAGCGGCGCGGTCCTTACGCCGACGAAGCAGTCGTGGTAGAAGAGGCGGAGGACGGCGGCGCCGGCGCGCGTGTCGTTCATGACGGCCTGCGACATGACCTGCCGCACGACGCCGTGCACGGTGGGGCAGCTCGCCGAGTAGAACCCCGGCGACAGCTGCGCCCGCGCGCGCGCCGCCAGCGCCAGCGCCACGGCGAGGAGGAGCAGGAGCAGGAGCAGCGGCCGTCTCCCTCTCCCGCCGACAGCCATGGCGCAGGCTCAAACTCCACCGACCGACGAACCAGCAAGAGAAGCAAGCAGAAGGAACCAAAGACGATAAGGGTGATTAATCGATACCGTTGATAGAGGCTCAAAAGCCGGTGTGTTCCGGTTGCTGCCAAGGGGCTCCTGTTCCTGGCAAAAATTTTGACAATATTGTTTGGTTTTTTGGCAAAAGATTCCCTATCCTTTGTACTAATGTTTTTTGCCCAAGCCACATGTTGCTAATTAGTTTATCTATTAGGTGCAATTATTTCGCTTTACGAACTTTTAAGCATCGAAACAAGTTGTGAACTTGTGAAACAGTAACCAATCAATCTATATCACCCGACTCCGTCGGATCCAGCGTCAGCGTCGTGTGCCCTCCGAGGGCCGTGGTGGATGGACGAACGTTCGTCCGTAGTCTTGGCGGGCCGGCGTTGGGTTGTGCGCCGTGCGCAGGTGTTGGGAGAATTTAACCGCGAGAGCTGCGCGCGGCGCGCCCACCGGTTGTTGCATCGCATGGTGGTGTGGTGGAAGTGGGCGGCGAATTCGGCGCGCGTGGCGGTGGCGGTGGCGATGATGGGTGCGGGAGGGAGCCCACCATGGGGTGGCAGCGGCATGGTGGTGGGGTTCGGCGGAGAGTGGCTGTCAGTCAAGTGCGTGCGAGATGGTTGCGCACACGCTCTACAGTTGCGCTACGCGCGTCACATTGGGTTAGCTGGCTGCTTTCGCGGAGGGTTATGGTTACGCTGAAAAAGGAGGAGGATTTTCTTGGGCCCATTTTGGCCCATATAACAATTGGAACTAACAGGGTCTTCGATGGGCTGGACGGAGATAGCAGTCAATAACATTCAGATTAAGTCTATAATTTCTCCTCAGTCTTGGTCATGACTGAATCGCCTCCGTCTAACACAAAACCGGGTATAACACCTCCCCGTGTTTAAACATCGGTGCAAATCATCTCCTTAGGTGTTTTAGAAGGTGATTTTAGCTGACGTGATATATTGACCGCAATTGACTAGCTAAGTCAGCGGGTGGGATCCACGTATCATCCAAATCTTATCTTCCTCACCTCGCCTCCCTCCCCACTCTCTCTCCCCTCTCTCTCACCAGGATGCACCAATGACGACATGTCCCACGGCAGCGATAAACTGGTCACCTGGATGTCATTGTCGAGTGCGCGCACACACCCACACATACTTGGACCAAGTCAACGTGTTACGTCAGCAAAAACCACTTTTAAAACTACCAAAGAAATTAATTTGTACCCTGTTTTACGGTTGAGGGATACGATTTGACCAACAACAAGACATGAGGGAGGCCAAATAGACTTATTCCATTACATTCATGCATTCTGTACAATATACGTACATGAGTCCGTGATGCCGACAACAATATGAAAAGTGTGGCAGAGTTTGCCACACTTCAGAACGACCTTTGTGAGTGTTTGTTTGTTAACCATATTTTACCATAGTTTGATAAGTTTGATCACCTTGTTGGCTGTTTAGTTGTACTTATAGTTATCACAAGATTATCTTTCCAATAAATTAGATCTCACATATTAATGAATTTAAAAAAATATGACAAGATTTTCTTAGTCTTTGTAAGGTATGGCTAATAATATTTATTAGCAAATAATGATCAGGTATGACCAGAAAACATACATACTCCAAGTACAGGGCTACAGCTAAGATTACGCGAAGATATGCAAAATGCGATGGAATGGATCCACCAAACGCCTGTCCGGCCAGCGTTCCGGCGATCGGGAGTTCGCCACCAACCTTGGAATTCATGGAACTGCACTGCTATTCGATCGCTGCAGCCTACGGTGCGGGTGCTACTGCATGTGTGTGTTCGCGTACTGCTGCTTCGCAACCTAATGCTGTCCTGGGCGAGGGAATTATGCGCATGAGCTGTACCGATCTCTCTTCGTGTCGATCGCAGGAGAAGCGGCTGCTTCATTGGTTTGGTGCGTGTCTGTACTCCCTTTCTGCTGTTTGGGTGCTCTGTTCCGCTGTTTGCAGAGAGGAATCTGTTCCAAGTGCTTTAGTTTTGCAAGGCAGACTGGCAGAGTTATGTAGATGGAGTATTATTCTTCCGGAAAGAGGACGAAAGATAATTAAGGGGCTGTTCACTTTAATGTCTAAATCAATGTTATCAAATATTGATATTGTATTTGGTAAAGTTGAGAAGTGGAAGTTATGTTTAGTTTGTTACCATTATTAAGATTTTGTGAGAGGAACTTTTAGAATTATCAAAACTTGATAATGGAGGTAAATTTTGGCCATGTTTTAGATTACCTCGTCAAATTTTGATAAAGTCATTACTTAATTGATAGGGTTAGTTTTGAAACAAAGTTTACCATTTCCCGGATCGTGTCGGCTGGGAAGCCCTGTACGGCTGCAGCCTGCAGCTGGGACATTGGGTGCAGCCGTGCATGCTGTACTGCCAGTACGTGTCCAGACCCTAGAACCTGCACTACCTAGCTAGAGTAGTAGCTAGTGCTGGTTCATTTTGATTTTCATAATAAGAGGGTGTTTACATTCAGGGATAAGGTTTTGGCAAATCCACTAGGATGGGTTTTGTTTATTTTGATACCTAAAAATGCAAAAATTATCACATCGAGTACTATATAGGGTGTTATATGGGGTTTCGGGCACTAATAAAAAAACTAATTACATAATCTGTGAGAAAACCGCGAGACGAATTTATTGAACCTAATTAGTCCGTTATTAGCAAATATTTACTGTAGCACCACATTATCAAATCATGGAGCAATTAGGCTTAAAAGATTCGTCTCGCAAAATAATCGCAAACTGTGAAATTAGTTATTTTTTAGCCTATATTTAATATTTCATGAAGATGTTCAAACGTTTGATGTGACAGGGTGAAAAATTTTAGGGTTGGATCTAAACAGGGGCATAGATCTATAGGTGTAAAGTTTTGGCGTGTCACATCGGACATACAGAAATACATTTGAAGTATTAAACATAGACTAATTACAAAACAAATTACATATTCCACCTGTGAACCGCGAGACGAATTTATTAAGCCTAGTTAATCCGTCACTAGCAAATGTTTACTATAGCACCACATTGTCAAATCATGACGCAATTAGACTTAAAAGATTCGTATCGCAATTTATACGCAATCTGTGTAATTAATTATTTTATTCGTTTAATTTAATACTCTATACACGCGTCCAAATATTCGATGTGACAGAGTGAAAAATTTTGCCGAGGGATCTAAACACACCCTAAGACGTCGATCACTGGATTTAATTTGCAAATATCGGTCAAAAACACGTGCAGCCACAGTATTGGACAGCTTGCAATCTAGCCCCGTTCATTATTTTTTATTAAATTAATATATATATTTTATCATAATTTTCGTTAGCACACTTTTCAAACTGGTAAACGGTGTGTTTCGTTTAAAAACTTTCTATATAAAAATTATTTAGAATAATAAATAAACCCATTTTCTAAAATTATAATAATTAGAACTCATTTAATAATACACTATTACTTTTCCGTTTTGTGTGCTTTATTTTTTCTAAGTTTAGTCTTGATCTTTATCTATCTCAAACGAGAGAAGGTTTGCCATCTATATATATGCATGGATTGAAGTCACTGTTAAGGTGCCCATTTGGCACCTCTCCAATGTACGGTGGTTTTAAAGGGCCCTCATAATATTATATTTCAACCCTCTTTTCTTCTACCTATCATCAATTAATAAAAGCTCTACTCCTACCGATTTTCTTAGAATTTTGAATTTTTTTTCTCCTCGGGATGGCTGCCACGTTGTCCTTTTATGCATAGGGGTTTCTCGATTGGGTGAGGAAAACCGGCAACACGCTCTTCCCCAGGCGGCATTGTTTTAATGCTTGCATATTTTTCTAATCTATTATACTTCAGATTTTACAAAGCAAATTAACCCTAAATAATAAACTAAAACACATATATGCCCTTACCTGCATTGGATTCAATTCATCCTCTTTCACTTGATTTTCATCTTAATCGACATCATTGACACAATGCCATGTACCGCTCGCGCGCGCGCTCTCCCTCTCTCTCACATCATCATCACTAGATGCTGCCTTCTGCTCCCTCCTCACTTGATACCACCGCTACACCCTCCTCCCCATCTCCGACCACTGTCATGGTTGGTCTGTCCTCCCTCGCATAGTTGCCTTCGATCTGCGATCGATGTCCTTCTGTCTATCGTCACTATCCGTGTGTTATCTTATATTAGGTCGTATTTATATATGTCTTTCGCCATTATCCGTGTGTTATCTGATATAATTAGGTGGTCTCGCAATGTTGCAAATTACAATCCGGATGGAGCATTGTAAATTTCTTTCTCTATAACTAGGTTGGGCTTTATCACAGCTTCCTTACCCCTGTCTCAGGTTTACTGTGATTAAACGAATGTAGATATGTACTCTCTCTGATTTCAAATAACTATCGATATTGATAAGTATAATTTGAACATTGACCATCAATAAACTCTAATTGGTTAGCTTATGATGTACGAAAATTTCTTTGAAAAAAAAATACATGCAAGACATTGTGTCAATTTCATTAAATAAGGAGAGTTTGAGTACAACATTAGAGACAAGTGTATCTATACAAGACTATACATTCATGTGGGCTAACTAGTTGAAGAGCTTTGCCCCTTATGAGTGACCATAACATCCCTCTTCTTTGAATCTAGCAATAGGCTTATTGCTAAGAGCTTATTTTACTGAAAGACTTTTTGGTTTCACTCCCTCCAAATCTCCCAAGCCATTGTGCACTCTCCTTTTGGGTGTTCCTGGCTGTTGGCTAACATTTCCCACCACTCATGCGTTGTGGCACTTGTCTTCCATTCGGCAGGGTTGAGTTGGTTCGGTTACACCCATATCATAAATAGGCTCCATATTCTTTTTTTATCTACAACCAACAAGGAGATGGAATGATGATTCATGCATATGGCGGTAGAGTGAGCATTAGAGGTTGTTTAGCCATCATGTACGGCGTCTAATCAATCTGCTATTCGATCGCACTTTGTGTTCCATCACCAACGAAGCTAAGAATTAATTTGTGTTTCCTTGAGTCCAAGGCTTCTAAATCATGTGCATGTGGTGTGTGCTGGTTGAACCTAGGAATTGAGCTTCAAGATATAATCTAGTCTAGCTAGGCCAGTTGAATGGATTATACCGGCCGGGCTCCATAACATCAGAAAGTTTTATGACTACATATATAGGATGCAACACTCCTTCACTAATACGGAATACTTTGAAGAATTTATATGTTTTCTTTAAAAAAAAGCAGTCAAAGTTTGAAAATGAACAGTACCCAGTGAAACTTATTAAAAACAGAGACAGACGACATGCACTATATTATCTATTATATTATTAAGACAGGTTTGAAAGAATGCACCATGTTTGTTGTGGGTGCTAAAAATTTCCACATTAATCAAAGAAAAAGAAAAGAAGAATCCAAGTAGAAATACAGTTCAAAAATAGCCGAAATTCGGAATTAAAAATAAGCACTATTGAAAGAAGAGATCATATAAGAATTTAATATGAGATTAATTAATATTCAAAATAAAAAATAAAATAAAATATGAAATTAGCCAAAAAAAAAAGAAGAGTTCAAGTAGAAATACAATTAAAAATAACTGAAATTCAGAATTAAAATTAAGAAATATTGAAATAAAAGTCTATATAAAAACCCAATACGAGATTAATTAAAAATTAAAATTAGAAAAAGAAAATAAAAAAAGTTCAAGTAGGAATACAATTTTGAAACAAGTGAAACTGAAAATAAAAAATAAAAAATAAAAATATTAAAAGAACACAATGCAATATTAATTAAAATTCAAAATAAAAAATAAAATAAATTCTGAAATTAGAAAAGAAAAATAAGATTTCAACTAGGAATACAATTTATAAATAACTAAAATTGGTGATAAGATAATAAAGACCATTGAAAGAAAGGACCATCTAAAACACATGACGAGAATAATTACTCCCTCCATTTCATAATGTAAGTCATTCTAACATTTTCCACATTCATATTGATATTAATGAATCTAAATAGATATATATATATATATATATATATATATATATATATATATATATATATATATATATATATATATATATATATATATGTCTAGATTCATTAACATCAATATGGATGTAGGAAATGCTAGAATGACTTACATTGTAAAACGGAGGAAGTAAGTAATAGGCCTATAAAGGAGTAAAGTAGTGGTGGGACATCTAAAAACTATTGATAAAACACTAAATAGAATCCTAATTACAATTAAAAGGAGGAACGACAGGCAAGACGTGAAGCAACCAGTCAAGGCGGTTGGCGGGACTTCTAAAAAGTAAAAAAAACACTCATGATAATCATATTCGTTTTTAAAATTTCAATGACAATAAAAAGCGGGCGTGTTGTACAGGGGTATAGTGGCAGAGCCGCCGACGGTTGGCGGGACATATAGAAAGTAAAAAATGAATTCCAACGATAGTTATGTTCGACTTTTAGAATCCCAATGATAATAAAGAGTAGACGACGGATAAGCCGTAGAGGAGTATAGTGGCAGCGTTTGAAGTGACTTCGAAATTTTATAGAAAAATGAAACCCCACGACACAATAAACTCTAAAAATTACAAGGTCCAATTTTTAAAGGTTCGAGACATCTAAAAATAAAAAAAATCCCAATGATAATCATGTTTGATTTTAAATTCTCAATGATAATAAAGAAGGGAGACACCGGGCAAGCCGTAGAGGAGTATAGTGGCAAAGCCACTGATGGTTTGACGGGACTTTTAGAAAGTATAAAAAAACCCAAACAATAATTATATCCAATTTTTAAAATCCCAATGACACGAAATAGAAGAGACAGTGGATGAGCCGTATAGGAGTATAAAAACTATAAAATTAGAAAAACGGGGATGATAAGGTTTGGTCTTTCAAAATCTTAAGACAACAAGATACCTATTTAATAAACTTTAAGTAAAACCATATTAAAAACTATATAATTTTGTATGGGTGCTAACCACGCAGTTGCGCGGGCCACCCAGGCACCTAGCTAGTTTATATGATACACTAAAAGAATAATGGATCTTTGTATTTGAGTATACGTGTATATGATAAACGGTTAATTGGTCTAATAATTATGCACATGCGTTCGTTTTAGATTGAGTATAATTATTCAATATTACCTCTTCGTCCCGATATTAGGAAGGTAATAGCATTTTCCCCTAGTTACAGTAACATATTTGTCCCATATATAAGCGCATGCATGGATGATCATTATATACGACTTGTCTGCATCCTGAGGAAAACACACCACATGCACGATGCATGCATGAACTAGTGTCTCCATTATTCATATCTGCATGCCTTGCAAACTAATCAGTCATCTTCTCAATCATCATCATGGGGTAGTACATATACAAAAAAAAAAAATTACAGCTCAAATTATTACCAAATGCATCGATCGATCGATCACCACCAATATTATGATACAGGAAAAGAATGCGATAATTAACCCCAAACCAAAATAACAAAAAAAAAAAGGCAATGCATGCAGCCCTTTGTGTCACTGCAGCGTGGGCCCCACCTCCCTCTTGATCCTCCCCTTTTGACAGCGCCACTCCACCTAATTATTTCGGTCCCTTGGATTCTCGATCGCTTCCTTCCCACGCCAAAAAAAGCCACACGTCTCACTGATCCCTGGGCCCCACCTCCTCCATCCCCTAGTCCTAGCTGGCAGTTGACTAGCCATCCATCCAGACCGTCCGATCGATCGATCTCCGCACGAATCTCAAAGATCGATCGATCGATCGACCGGGCACGAATCTCAAAGATCGCCGGAGCTTAGTTGGGCTTCCGGCAGTTGGAGCGGACCTCGCCGCTGGAGCCGGTGAGCGGGCTGATGTTGCCCATCTTGACGACGGCGGTGACGAAGTCGCGGGAGAAGGCGGCGCCATTGGCGGCGTACTGCTGCGCGATGGAGTCGACGGGCCCGCCATTGAAGAGCTCCTGGTCAGAGTGGAGGAGGCCGAAGCGGCCCATGAGGTTGCGGAAGTAGCCGTTGTCGAAGCGGACGGAGCTGAGCGCGTCGAGCGGCGCCAGGTTGCCGTCGCCGCCGCTCGCCGGGCACACCTGCCGCCGGCGGACGGCGAACCCGGGGCTGATGTTGGTGTCGTTGTAGACGCGGGCGCGGAAGGTGGCGCACCGGGCGGCGCCGATGGTGTGGGCGCCCGACAGCGCCACCATGTCGCGGGAGTCGAGCCCCTTGGACGCGAACGCCGACACCAGCGCCGCCGCGCTCGACGACGGCGACGGCAGGTTGCTGTTCGCCGCCGACTGGCTCGCCGTCCGCGTGTCGCGCCGCCCCAGCTGCACCGCCCACGTCGGCCCACCCAACTGCAGCAAATCAAATTTACGCACCAAATTAGTTTTACTTCTCTCGAGTTGATTACCGCTGTAAAATTAGTTTAGTTACAATTTGGTGTGGTGATTAGGCAGGTCTTGACACCCCATGCACGACAAGATTGACAGGCTAAGGCGATCGGTCGATCCATCCATCAGCGTCAATCATTTTTCGTCATGCATGCAGCCGCAAGTAAAATCAACGCAAATCAACTGTACATGGACGTGGGAGGGGATGGCCCACATGGCAGTGAGATATTGGACAGGAAATTATTCTAAACTCTTGAGGGTATGTCCTTCCTTATTTGCACGTCACCCAAATAATTCTAAAAAAATTAAAAAAAATTAAGCAGATGTATTAATATATGATATATCATTCCCACAAATATGTAAATCCAAATTTAACTTTTGCATTTCGTAACGAAAATATTTAGAGTTAAATTTTTTTATTTGAATTACATGTAAACAATATTTTGAGACTGAGGGGGTACGGCATGTGCGGATGGCTCTAGATTGTAATTTGTCGCGCGGCGCGAGCATGCGTGCGTCATTAAAAATGTAGGTGGCTTTTTGACACGGGCATGATGCAGTGCGTTGCATTTGCAGCTTGAGTTGGCTGTACGGCCTGTCGGCGAGCGGCCGCACGGTAAAAAAAAAAATTGACATGCATGCAAGTGTAAAAGTAATTATTAATTAAATTGGTTGGTAAATTGATTAATTACCAGGTTGACGCCGTCGCGGGCGGCGACGGCGAGGATGTCGGCGCAGGAGACGGTGCCGGGGCAGGCGGCCTCGACCTGCGACTTGATGGAGTCGATGACCTCGAATCCGCGCAGCGAGTTGGCGTTCGGCCCGGCGTTCTTCTCGCCGGTGATCGTCGACGAGTCGTCCAGCAGCACCGACGCGTCGCACCCCTGCAATCATATATAATCGCCATGAACGCCGGCGAGCGACCATCAGCTCGATCCCCATCCGCCGTCATTCTCAGAGCCGCCATGGCTGGCCACTCTCAAGCTAGCTAGCTAGCTATGGTGTACTTACATTGACGAAGCAGTCGTGGAAGAAGAGGCGGAGGATGGAGGCGCCCATGCGGGGCTCTTGCTGCACGGCGGCCGCCATGGCCGACCTCACGATGGACTGCAGGCTCGGGCAGCTGCCGTCGTAGTACGTCGGCGTCAGCTGCGCCGCCACCTCGCCGGGCGCCACCAAGGCGGCAATGGCAACCACCACCACCATTCTCCTCACCAGCACGGCTCCAGCCATTGCTATGACTATGAGCTTAGCTAATTAAGCTAGCCACTCACTGGCCCTTTTGGCCTTGTTGACCTGGGAGTACTTGAGTTGCTGCTGCTTTGCTATAACCTTCTCTCTTCCACTGACCTATATAGTGGCTTGGTTGTTGCATGCATGGACAATTAGTGAATAAATTAAGAGGTTAATAATTCAGCAAATTGTTGTAGTTAACTAACTAATTTGCATGTAACCTATGGGCTGGGGTTTTGAGTTGTTTGATCCAACTTAACAACATTATTTTATCAACCCCCAGATATTGGATTTTTCTTGTAATTAACCCAACCACTCAATCTGCATAACAATGTTTACTATATGTGTCTTGCCTTTGGATACTCTTAATTAATTATCATGTTAGGAGCTATAGCTAAATGTGTACTGCATGCATGCATGATAGTTCAGTAATTAGTAGCTGTATGTACTAGGAGATGCTGCTGCCATCAGTACAACAGTGCAACGTGCTGGTCAGTGTTTGTTACCGGTATATGTGGTGTTTGGTAGCACTACAGATGGATTGGTTGGTGATCACAAACCTCGTGGGACCCGGACAACACTACATGCATGCATGAGTTAGCAGACAGAAGATTATTAATTAATTATTATTAGCTTGCAGAGACTCATGTCAATGTCGCCTATACTTATACTATCTTTGGACGCATGCCCAAACAAACAGCCAAATCTCATACTACTTGCGTATGTATGTATGTACCATGAATTGTTGAATACTAAAAACATATACATATATACACATCACCTACGTACGAGAGCCACATGCATTGATACATACATGAACACACCAAACTAACTCACTGTTTGTTGTTCTGATCAATTGATCATGTCCATGATTAAATTCATGCCGTGCAAGCTAGTACGTACGTCTTTCTTAACAAGGGGATTTTCACGAGAGAAGGCGTACGAGCAGCAACTGTCTCGATCTGAAAAGGTATTGGTATATATGATGATTAAGCAAGCCAGCAAGCAAGCCGGCATGCAATTTGGATTTATTCCAAATAATGTGTGCTTAATTAGCTGTGATCAGCTATGTATGGGCTGTGAAGGAGACATCCCTAGCGTATTAATTGTGATACTGTGTTCATGTGACGCATTCCCCATACGTTCTAGCTATTTGCAATTTTGGTAGTTTTCAGGATCAATTAAGTAACGATTGCAATTTGATGAAAGAAAACTGATCGAAGAACTGAAAAACTAGCTAGAAATACAATTGTAGTACTATCTCTTAAGCAAATAAAACAACCTTAACAAACGAAGATGGATATTTGTCGCTCAAGGTGATATCCCCCTCATTTCATACATATCACTCCAAAAATCATCAAAATTTTTTTTGACATGATGAACAATATATGATGTTTTACTCCACAAACACACAAGTTCGTATCCGATTTACAAGTTTATTTTCTTAGAATTTTTAAAACTTTTTCAACGACATGCAAAATGAGAGGGCATTCCCTTAAGAGACGAATAAACTTTTCTCTCTGTCCATATATATGTATATATATATATATATATATATATATATATATATATATATATATATATATATATATATATATATATATATATATACTTATTAATCTACATGTTATAATGTAGATGTAGCATGAACATAAACATGCATATAGATCCTTTAATTTTTAGCACTTAACATAGTGAACATGGAATCTCCTCTTTCATCCTCTGTTTAACAATAGGATATATGCATATATCGATAAATTAATTATATAGAGGTTGTGAATCAGGCTTGATTCGCGGAGTCGATTCTTCGCCCAACAAGTCAATAACAGACAGACAAATTTGTTTTACTCTGACTAATCTTTTCTCCAAAACCTGCAGCTTTCCCGTCCTACAAATGGACAAGATTCACGTGTGGTGTGATCAGTAAACACAAACAATATTCCCCGACCGACAATCGCCGGGAGATAACTCAGAGAAAAGGTGATATAAATTAATAATTCCACGACAATAATTCATCATCGACTCTCTTCAATATCGACTTAATCAGGATAAATATCGATATTGTCGGACAGAAAGAAGAAGGAATAAAGGTAGTAATAAAAAAACTAATCTATAAACTTGTAAAAGAAAAAGGAGAGGAGAACTTTAATCATTCCAATGGAGGAAAAGCTATAGCTGGGGCATGCATCGATCGATTATCGATTGAGTTGGCTATTGGTAGAGCTTGAGAAAAATCACAATCATTCAAAAATTTAATCATTGCTTGATGCGCAGGACGATGCATCGAGCTGACCGAAATGTCTCTGCAGCTCTGCTCGATCTGCATGCTTAACTGGATCAGATCGGCCGGTCGATGCGCTGAACCGATCGAGCTATGCATGGGGTGAGAAGAAAAAAATTAGTGATATAATCGCAAGGTTCTGGAACAGCAGCAACAGTTGATAGTACGTACTGATCGTAATCTTGGGCCCTCGTAAGTTGTCGTGCTCCTCTCTCCTTTGCTGGAAAGATGCGATTCCTAATTTGAGAGAGAGAGAGAGAGAGAGAGAGTAACATATCCATCCAAAATGAAGCATCAGACGAAGTTAAAAAAAGTGAAGCATCAGCCGTACTCTGGTACCCCTTTAACTAACTTCAGAGTTCGTTGAGAATATTTTCTCCCAATTGTACTGCTGAACCTCATAAAATTTTTACAGTGATCACTGCCTTAATATCTTTTGTTTTTTAACTAAACCACCCAACTATCATATGGGACTCGATCAAAAATAGCAAGATAAAGAGAAAATTCAAGAAATATCATCAACAAGTGCCCCAATACAAGAAATGCTATCGATAAACTCAACTTCTTAAAAATGCCATCGTACAAACTTTTTTTTTCCAGAAATGCTATCATTGTTAGGTTTTCGTTAGCAACCCTCCGTTAACTACTATAAAAAGACCATTTCACCCCTACGAATTGTTGAAAGTTGATTAAAATGTTTGTTCTTTCTGTCAACTTACAATAATTTAGTATGGAAAGCAACCTACAAATTAGCGTAAGCTGGTAGAAAGAGCAAAAGTTTTAATCAGCTCTTAACAGTTACTAGGGGTAAAATAGTCTTTTTATAGGACTTAACGGAAACCTAACGGCGATAGTATATTTCTGGGACAAAGGCACTTGTATGATGGTATTTCACTGAAGTTGGGTCTATCAATGACATTTCTTATATTAGGGCATTTGCCGATGATATTTTCTGGATTTTCTTATGATAAAACTTTGTCTAGCTCACACCTCTAATCAGTAGGCAAATGACAAGAAAAGTAGCATGTTGATATTATATTAGCAACCCAATAAGCTGTAGCAATCGTTTGGGCCAGTACGACCATACCAGCAATGGAGTTGTCAATGAAAATAGATTTCTGTTACCAGTAAAGTCACCTGTCATGATCTCTCTTCGCCTTTAGATGAAAAATAATGACTAATGCTTCACTATAGCATCACAAGCTCTAACTTTGATTTTCGACTATATTTCATCTGACAAAAAATAAAGTGACAATTAGCTCGGATGATAATGGTGTTTATCCTAGCTAGAAAGGACATGCATGGTGCATGTGAGTGTCCACGTATTGACAAATGATTTGGAATTGGAACCGGTTACAGCCTTACAGATGAGGAAGAAACTTATGCCCTAGTAACTTCCCTTTTTTTTTCCCTACACCGCACTATGGAGTCACAGGTTTCTAATTAATCACAGCATGTTCTTGTTTTATTTGGCCTTCCATTCGCTTTCGATCCCATGAATGATAGACGTGTAGGATCCATTCGACAAAGCTCCAAGTCATAGACTATCGCAGAATATGGAGTTTGTTGGCTAAAAACAAAGTGGTTTCATTAGTTCTCCATCAATAGTCTAAAATGTGAACACGTTTAACTCACTAAAACATCCCAAATCTATCCTCAGCTCCCCTAGTTCAAAATTACGAGCATCTCTAGAAGTTTTAGCAGTAATTAAGATATATGGTTGTGATTGATTGAGATAAAAAAAGTAGATGAAAATAATTGAATAAGAGATTTGTATGGTTGTGATCGAATGAGATGAGAAAATAAGCAAATAAATAATTATATTATAGCACTATGACAAAATGTATTTTTGTAAACGGTCAAAATGGGTTTGCACAGATGGTTCGGTCGACCATCTCTAATCAAATGCCCACAATAGTATTGCATTTCCACATGCATAACCGCAGCCGTATGTGCAAACACATTGTCACAATCGGTCCACGTAAAGATCTGCTTGCGTGTTAATAATCGTTTAATAAACACTAAAAAACCAAAGCCGCCGCCATCATCGTTGTGCCTCGCAAGCCCCCCCCCCCCCCCAACTTATTTTTACACGCGGGTAATAATTCTTTCGGGCTTTCGATGAAGTAAAATATGGCATGTTAAAAATAGGTTTTTAGTGTAGTATAATTTTTAAATAAAAAACACTTACTCCATATTTTAAAACCTAGGACAGTATGACAGGAGGAGTACATGCATTCCTGGAGATGATCAGTGTGATCTTTCTATCGCTAGCTAAGGTAGCTATAGTGCTGAAGTAGGCAGGCAGGTTGGTAGCTAGGTAGGTAGGTGGGTGTGTGCTTGGCCTACTCCAAATGTTCACTTTTGGATACTTCCCTGCCTGACTGCATGATGCTGCCGATGGATGGGGGATACAAGAGAGAAAAAGAGCTGGCTGACCAAGGTACTCGTCGGGGACCGTAGTAGACCCCCGCATCCATCGGCGCATGATTGGCACACAATACGATTCTTCTCCTCCTTCTTCTTCTTCCTTCGCTCTACGGCCGGGACGGCGCCGGTAGAGGTTGAGCTGGCGCTATCATCCTCTCCCATATCCCCCATGTGAGCTGTTGTTATTAGGAGCAAGAGATCAATCTAGCTTAATTCTAGTACTGCTAAATCATCGTCATCATCAGGCGCATCTGTCCCGCTTTATTAGGCTAGCTTTGCTGCTTTAATTTACCACCTTTCCGGTGATTAGCACTGCTAGTTTCTCGATCGATCGCCGGCTTTTCTTTTTTCGGATATATGCATATCGGTTTAAGCTTAACTATGATTGATAAAGCTTTTACGATGGTCTCTGCTGATATAGGCATATAGGCATGTTTAATGTGTACGTCTAATATGAAGTTGACTCTTATCACACCAAATGTGATAGATAACCAACTTGCACATGCATGCGTGTGTGGTGTCCGTAGAGGCTGCCAAGCACTCCCTTTCATGTTAATTTTGAGGGTGTGTGTTCACCTTAATTTTTTTTTTAGAATTACATAGTCAGGACCGGCTCTGGGCCACGGCAAGAAGTGCGATGGCCTAGGGCCCAGAAAAAGTAGGGGCCCAGACCTAGGTATGTATTAGGTATACCATATGCACGTATACAAGTTTCTGATCGAATCATTGGGCATACACGACCGTCCAAGTTCCAAACTTTTGTCTTCTCGTCTCCTCTCCTCTACCGGCGGCAGTCTCCGCCAATCCGCCTCCAGCGCCCTCCACGGCGCCTGCGCAAGTTCGCCCCACGCCGAGCCGCCGGCGATCCCTTCAGCATTCAGCCCTTCACAGCTTTGTGCCTTTGTCTGTCGACTGTTCGCCTTGGACACCGGCCGACCGGCGACCGCCGACACAACACAACGTGAATCTGCCTCAACTTCCAGAGTGTCTGCAGGTTTCAATTTACAGGTACTTGCATACTACTGTGCTGTAACCATATTGTCCATTGAATTGAACTAGTGAAGTACTAATCACTTAATCAGTCATTAGTAATTAGTAAATACTAAAGATCAGTTTCCTTTGTACGTTTAGGTTTGCAATGTTACCTAAAAAGCATTTATCTGGTGCTAAGAAAAGGAAAAAAAGAAAACGAGGAGATCAGTTTATTGAATCACAGAAGGGTGCTATACATAAGTTCTTTTCGGCATCAAGTAGTGCTGTTCCTGATGAAAATCCTGAGGCAGATTATCCTAGTACTGAAGAACAAGAGCAGCAACTTGTTCTTTTTGTAAATACTGAAGATGACGCTAATCATGATGATTCAGAACATGAAAATTTGCAGCGTTCACCTTGTACTGAGAATGCAAATGTTGATGTACATGAGAATATCTATGATCCTAGGACTTGGGAAAATCTTGACAACAGGGGGAGAGATATATTAATTGAAAAGGGGCCTATCAGAGAATTCAATCTACTGTTCCCTTCAGATAGTAGTGGTAGACATTTTTCGTATGCTTACTACTCTAGAAAGCTGAGCAATGGTGAGGTGATTGATAGAAAATGGTTGGTTTACTCTAAGCATGTGGACAAAGTATATTGTTTTTGCTGTAAACTGTTCAAATCAAATCAGAGCAAAAGTTTGTTAGCTTCTGATGGATTGAAGGACTGGAAGCATCTCAGTGGAAGACTCAAACAGCATGAGAACAGTGTGGAGCATATAAAAAACATGAATACTTGGAATGAACTTAGGTTGAGGTTAAGCCAAAATCAGACAATTGATGATGATTTGCAACGGGGAATTTCAAAGGAGAAAGAGCGTTGGAGACAAGTTTTGATAAGAATAGTTGCTGCAGTGAAGTTTCTTGCTAAACATAATTTGGCCTTTCGAGGATCCAATGAGAAACTTTATCAAGATAACAATGGCAATTTTCTGGGCACAATTGAAATGGTTGCTGAGTTTGATTCTGTGATGCAAGACCACATTAGACGCATTCAAAATCATGAAGTTCACCATCACTATCTCGGCCACAATATTCAGAACGAGCTAATTTCCCTTCTTGCTCAGGCTGTGAAAGTTTATATTATGAGGGTTATCAAGGATGCTAAGTATTTCTCTGTAATATTAGATTGTACCCCGGATGTCAGCCATGAAGAACAAATGACTTTAATTGTGCGTTGTGTCAATTTATCGAGTAATATTCCAAGAGTCGAGGAGTTCTTTCTAGAGTTTTTGAAGGTGGATGATACATCGGGATTGGGGCTTTTTAATGAACTGATGAAGGCATTGGACTCCCTTGAATTGAATGTCAGTGATGTGAGAGGACAAGGTTATGACAATGGTTCTAATATGAAGGGGAAACACCAAGGAGTTCAGAAACGTTTGCTTGAAATTAATCCAAGAGCATTATACATGCCATGTGCATGTCATAGTCTAAATTTAACTCTATGTGATATGGCAAAATCGTGCAATAAAGCTATTTCGTTCTTTGGTGTTATACAACGAATATATACACTATTTTCATGCTCGACAAAAAGATGGAAGATTTTTCTTGAGAATGTTCCACACTTGACTGTCAAATCAGTGTGTAATACACGATGGGAGAGTCGAATAAAAAGTGTCCAAGCTATTAGATACCAAACTCCCCAAATAAGGTCAGCTTTGTTGGAACTAGAGAAAGCTTCTACCGATGACCCAAAAGCTGTGAGTGATGCTCAATCTTTGGTCACTGCACTAGAGAATTTTGAATATTTAGTTGGAATGGTTATTTGGCATGATATATTATTTTCTATAAATATGGTCAGCAAGAAGTTGCAGTCTGAGATTGTGTGCATGGATGCTACTCTCAAGCAAATCGAAGGTGTCATATCATTTTTCCAGAGGTACAGAAATGAAGGCTTCACTTCTAGTATAGATATTGCAAAAGTCATTGCATCTGACATGGATATAGAACCAAAATTTCCTACAAAACGTCAAGCTAAAAGAAAGAAACATTTTGATGAACAAAATGACCAAAATGAAGAACAACAATCAGTTGTGGAGTCCTTTAGAGTTAATTACTTCCTAGTCATGATTGATGTTGCAATTGCCTCATTGACTAGTCGATTTGAGCAGTTGAAGGCATTTGAAAATGTGTTTGGTTTCTTGTTCACCTCAAAGAATTTGAAATCCTTGGATGATACTGATCTATGGCAGTGCTGCACTAATTTTGTAGAGACATTTTCACATAATAACTCATCCGATGTTGAGCTAAATGACTTCTTTTCTGAATTAAAAGTGTTGCAAGCGACTTTGCCAGATGCTTTGAAGTCAGCACCTGAGATTCTTGAATTCATTACAGCTGCAGATTGCTATCCAAATGTTTTAGTTGCCTATCGAATCCTCTTAACTGTGCCTGTGACAGTAGCCTCAACTGAAAGAAGCTTCTCAAAATTAAAGTTATTGAAAAACTATTTGAGATCAACCATGTCACAAGAAAGATTAAATGGCTTGGCTATGTGCTGCATTGAGAAGAATGTCTTGGAAAATATTGATCTCGATACCGTCATTAATGATTTTGCATCAAGAAATGCCCGAAGGAGTATTTTTTTATGAGAAGCAAATGGATATCTGTCATTTTATCTTTTGTCAAGTATTATTAATGAAGTCCCTAGAGCTTGATCCTAAGTCAAGAATTCAAGGTAACCATAGTAATTCCATTTTAATGCTCTTTTGGTATTTTTAGCAACATATATAGAGGATATTATCAATATTTATTTTCAGCATGATTAGCGGATGAATGCTTCAAAAGTATACTTTAAAAATCCAAAGTGCATATGTGTATATAGAGAGAGAGTGTATGCCTAAGGGCCCATGTCATGGAGTTGGCCTAGGGCCCTAAAATATGTAGAGCTGGCCCTGTACACAGTATAACGTAGACACTCAACGCACGGCAAATCCTCGAGATTGACGAAGTCACCACAGACACCTCGCTGACGTAGACACTCACAACGCACGTGCACTCACCCTTATCAACGCACGCACACAAACCCTACCCTATAAGTATCTTCGAAGACTGGGCTGGCAAATCCTCGAGATTGACAGTCACCACAGGCGCCTCGTTGTTGACGGGTATGTCGTCTACCACTGAAAGCACAACGCCGTTAAATCCTGAAAAATTCGCTCTCATGAGGAGTCAAACCCAGGACCTTATGTGCTACTGAGGCTCTTGTAACCACTAGGCTACAGGCCCTTTCACATGTGTTCACCTTAATTGATCAATTGTATTGTTGTTTTACCTGTCACCTAGGATATTATGGAGTCAGTTTGCTTCAGATTTTACCCTACTAATTGCTTACTGCATCCTAGCTAGATACTCCCTCCGTCCCATTTTAAGTGTAGCCTTAATTTTCCGTGCCCAATTTTAATCGTCCGTCTTATTTAAAAAAATTTAAAAACATAAGTCATGAATAAAGTATTATTCATATTTTATCATCTCATAACAACAAAAATACTAATTATAAAAAAAATTCAAATAAAACAGACGATCAAAGTTGGACATGGAAACTCATGGTTGCACTTAAAATGGGACAGAGTGAGTAATTAAATTGAAGCAAAGTTTTCTCCATATCAATGCAGTTGAAGCACCTCAACTGTAAAATAAAAAGAGAGGAAAAAAAATCTAATTTACCACCTAAACTTTTGGCATAGTACAGTTTAAACAAACCCCCACCCCTCCAATATGCACACTCACTCTAACACCATACACCATACATTTGTTATCATATACTCTTCTTTCATTCCCAATGAATTATCCCTTAACTAAATCCAGAGCGACTTTGGTGCCACGTGGCAGTAGTTTGACTGATATGTGATAGTCATGTTAGCTAATGCTCCCTCCGTTTCATAATGCAAGACATTATAGCATTTCCTGCATTCATATAGATATTAATGAATCTAGAAACACATATATGTCTAGATTCATTAATATATATATATAAATATGGGCAACGCTATAAAGTCTTACATTATGAAACGGAAGAAGTAATAACAATAAAATTGGTAGGGCTCGCCTATCAGTGTACATATTATCCCCTCTTCCTCTTTTCTCTCCCTCGTCCTTAATCTCCAATCGAACAACAGCTACATTGATAGCCACCCACCACTAACATCTCTCGCTTGGCCCTAGGCTCGACCTCGGTGGTAGAGATCAACACCGTTGTCTCCAGCACCAAGCTCCACCTCCTCCGTGACCTTGCCTGCCAGCGTCTCACCTCCTCCTCCCTATCTTGCTGGATAGAAGATGCAGCAGCATCGCCTCGAGTTTCATATCCACGTCATGTCACTATTGTCAGTTGCATTGTCCTGAGCGTTGGGTCCCTGCCCTGCGGCAAGATCTACCTCCATGTGGGTCTCACCGTGCTCTACCTCCATCATCATCTCCTCGAGGTCCCTGCATCCTCCTTCTTCTCCGGCCGATGAGAGAGGTGTTGGAGTGGGAGAGTGGACATCGCCAGATCTACCACCTCCACCCTTGTCGCCGCTTTGCCTCCCTCTCTATAACTCCATCCCCCGCCTCTGTAGCGCCCGTTCCATCGTGGCGCCTAGCGGGAAAATTATCTCTTAAAAACCCTAATTGCGAAATTTGTTTCTTTGCTTGTCGTCTAGCGTCCGTGTCTTCTCAGATCTCAAATCCCCGATCTATCGTCGAGTTCAATTCCGAATCCAAATCCTTCCAAATCAATTCCTCCGCAAAAGTCTATTTTGCCTCCCCCGGGTTCGATGGGCCGAATTTCTCTCGGCCCATCTCCCCCTCCCTCCCGGCGCTCTCTCCCTCTCTCTCTCTCTCTCCCTCTCTCCCTCCGCCTCCGCTCCGCCCGCGCGCCGCGTGCGCGTGCGCGAGAGTCGCGTCGAGCGCCCTCCCTTCCCCTCGCTCTGCCCGCGCGTGCGCGAGCGCCGCGCCGAGCGCCCCTCCCCCTCGCTCTCCTTCTCCCCATCCCTGGTGAGCTCCCCGCCCGCGAAGCCGGCCCCCGCGCACCATTGTTCGCGCGCGCGCCCGCGTGGTCGTCGCCCGCGTCGCGCCTGCGCCGTCTGCGCCGCCCGGCCCCGCTGCCCTGCCGCGCCTACAGCCGCTCGGCCCCGCAGCCAGCGCGCGTGCCCGAGCCGCGCCACTCAATCCGCCGCGCCTCCCGTTGCAAGCCGCGCGCGCGAGCCGTGGTGGCCGACCGCCTGGTCGCCGCCATCGTCAGCGCCTGCCCGCGCCTGTCGCCCATGTCGCCACTCCGCTCCAAACCGCCCCGCCGTCATCGCCGTCATCAGCGCCTGCCCGCGCCTGTCGCCCGTGTCGCCGCTCCGCTCCAAACCGCCCCGCCGTCATCGCCATCGTCATCGCCTCGGCCCCGCCACTCCGCGCGCAAGCCGCCAAGGGACGGAGGCAGAGCCCCTCCTCCCTCTGCCGCGACGCCCCCGCTCCCCTCCTCCTTTTCCCAAAGAAGCAAGGGACAAGCCCCCTTTCTCTCCCCCCTTTTCTCCCTTTTTCCCTCTCGCCGGCGTCACCTCCTGTCGCCGTTTTGGCCGCTAGCCGGAGCGCCAGCTCGCCGGCTTGACCGTCCAATGTCGGTTCCTCTCTCCCAAACCGACCTTGTCGCCCATTTAAACCCAAGCTCCTCCCCCTCCAATCTCCCTCGTTTTCGTCTCTCGCCACCAATGTCGCCCCTGTTCGCTGTCGCCGTTCGTCGTTGCGCGTGTCGGAGGAGCCGGCACGAGCAAGGACGCGAAAGGGGACTTCGGCCGCGCCCTCTTCCTCCTCTTCCTCGGCCCGAGGCCGAAACGATCATGTTTCGCGCCGTCGGCTCTCGTCACTGCGCCCGCCCGCACGGTAGTGCATCTCCCCGTTCTCCCTCCTCGTTCCATCTCCTCCCCTTAGACTCGGGTAGTAGCACGAGTAGCCTCCCCGTAGCTAGCCGGCGCCGCCCCGACCGTTGCCGTCGCTCGCCGTGTGCTCGCCGCCGTCGCCGCCCGAGCTCGGGAACGCCTCTCGTCGCCGGCCTCCCTCGAAGCGTTTCCTCCTAATCCGGCGCAAGGGACGGATTCCCGTAGCCGCATAGATGCTCTCGCCGCCGGGAATCGGCCCCTCGTGACCTCGTCGTCGTTTCCCCCTTCTTCCGCCGCCGGATGCCGCCGCCGCAATTCGCCGCCGTCGGGCATCCTCCGGCGAATCCGAGCCGTTGGCTCGTCTCCTCTCGTCTCGTGCAACCACCCGGTGTGCTCGCTTTCGCCTGTATCGCCGTGGTTCGCTCCGCCGCTCGCTACTATCGTCCGCCGTCCGTTCCGGCCGGCGTCGTCGTCTACCTCCCGCCGGTCCACGTGGCAGCCACGTAGGCGCCACGTCGGCGCCAGCTCGGCCAAGACCGGGTCGAGCCGACCCCGGTCAGCCCCTCCCCGTGCGCGCGGTCCACCGCGAGCCGTGAGGCTACACGTGGGCCCGCCGCATCCGCGTCCTCCGCGAACCGCGCGCGTGCACCGCGCCCCACACCTCACCCTAGCGCCGCGCCACGTGCTCCCTCCTCACGGTGAGCCGAGCCGCTGACAAGCGGGTCCCACCCGGGACCACGCGAGATGAGCCCGGTCCACCGGCTCCCTCTCTCCTCCCCTCCCGCGCGCCCTACTGGGCCGAATCCTCTTGGGCCGGCCGGCCCATTAGCTCGGCCGAGCCGCGCTTCTTCTCTCGGGCCGCGCCCTAGCCGCCCGAGGGAAGTCTACTTCTCCTCTCTCTTTCTTTTCTTTTTCAAAAAGGATTTAATTAAATCGTTTTCCTTTAGACCAAAAATCCAATAATCTTAGAAATTCAATATCTTCCCAACCGTAAATCCGTTTGACTCCGTTCAACTTCCAAAATTCCTCAAATCTCGAGATCTATCTAATGGCACGCTTAGAGGTCATTAATAGGGTTTTATTTTCGCCGTTTGTTGAGTTGTCCCGTTTCGCGTGTAGTTTCGGAGCCCGAAGACCCGCAGTGCGAGGATTTCGAGGATCAACCTCCAGATCTCGAGCAAGGCAAGCCACCTTTGAACATCTTGAGCCTATATTTGAATTTAATTGTGTTGCTTGAAAAATATTATGCATTGATAGGATCGCACTTAATCTGTTTGTCCCGTCTGCAAGGCAGATTAGCGGACCTACCTAGTTTGTTGCATTTGATCCTTCCTTTGTTAATTGTTATCCCATGTTCCCTTGTGACCACCCAGTTGCGCCTCGGAAACCGTGCACTCTGCACGAGTATCGACGGCCGCCTTCAAACATAAAATCTGAGTAACTTCTTGGGTAAAACTTGGGTTTTACAAAAGACTTGGAAAACCCGACACCTGGGTCGGTGCTTGCGAACTAAATGAATTTCCAAAACCGCGGACCGGGGAACGTACCGGGTGTACGGTTTCCCGCTCTTGCACTTAAGGAACGTTTCCTTGGAATTTCATCCAACATAAGACAAGTACGACCACATGGGTGGAATGGGACACCCCTAGCTGAGTAACTAGTGTATCAGGGGAGCCTTGATGACGAGAGACATGTGGATTCGCCGGGGTGGTGTCGGGGAGGACCCCTGGGCTTCCTGGCACAGTATGGTCTGGGACCTAACCTGTTGTCGGTCTGGGACCCCTCTCGTCGGCATATGGTAAACCTGTGTCGGCTTTGGAAATGCCTTGTCATGAAAGCTTGGAGGTCTCCCGACGTGGCTAATCCCCACGGGCTGGGTGATCCAGGTTAGTAATGTCGTGTGGGTAAAGTGTACCCCCTCTGCAGAGGTTAACAAACTGTTCGAACAGTCGTGCCCACGGTCATGGGCGGATGTGAGGTGATTCCTAGCGTAGTTTTGTTTGACTACTGCTTGTGAAATTGCTGTTGTGGAAAGGGGTTCGATGTTTGGAAAATCTGCGGCTGATGGGATCAGCTAGGCCCGGGTGGCCGTTTGAAAGTTGTTGGCCGGGTGCCAATCTTGAACAATTCTAAAGACTGATACATTGCACATACTCCGACCGGACAAGACGCACTGTCTTATCCGTGTCGTTTGAGAAGCACTCACTTAGTTGTTTTCAGAAAAGAGTTTAAATAAAATCAATTGCAAAAACAACAGCCTTTCCTTGAAGCATGCATTAAACACTTATTTCCCCTGGCTTGCTGAGTACTCCCGTACTCACCCTTGCTCTATATAAATAATTCCCCCCCCAGTTGCTGAAGAAGATGAAGCGGATCCTGCTGATGAGGAGTTCTTCCAGGAGCAAGCTGGCTACGATGAGTTTTAGGGTTTCGGCCTAGTTCCCAAGTCGCGCCTGTGTTGTTTGGTCCAAGTCCTGGCTTCCGCTTCCCTTTTGTAATGCAGTTGTGAGCTCGGGATCTGTCCGCAGCCCAACATGACTGTACCTCTACTCTATAATAAAGAGACCTCTGTTGCTGTAATAATCTGTCTTCCTGTGATACCAGCACTGTTTCCTGGGACTGGTATCGATTTACAGGTTAATTTAGAGCGTCACGGGCTAGTTCCGGTCGGTACTAGTTCGGGGCGTGACAGCCTCCCTCATCATTCACAGAGAATGGCTGCCAGTAAGCTCGTTGATGGTGGTGGAGGGGAGAGCTAATGTAGGCCCCTCCATTCTCTTCCACAAGTAACACAAGGCGAACATGTGACATGTAAGGCAACGACATGTGGCAATGGCATGGGAGAGAGAAAGATGAGAGGGTAAGAGATAAGATGTATAGAGGATGATAAGTGGGGCTGAAATTATTTTTAAAATTTATTTTCTCAAATGCTAGCTAGATTAATATGTGGCCAAACTACCGCCACATGTACGCCATGTAGGACTAATACCACCTTAGTGTAGGTTAGAGAGGGTAATTTGTCTAGTTTGAAGAGTTTGGTAGTAGAAAATATCTATACTAAAATTGAGGGATGTAAATCGAACTACCTCAAAAGATCACGGGGAGGGGTGTTATTTTGGACTTTTTCCTTAAACATATGTATAGAGTCAAAACTTACTTAAGCTTTGATACTACCAAAATTTTTGTTGTGCACTAATTCAAATTGGCCCGTGCTACACCATTTGGATTTTCTTTTTGATTCACTATTCTGATCGTAAGAATGTTTTTTTGGGTGAATAACCAATAAGATCGTTGAACTTTCGCTTCATGATAAATTTAGTTCTTGAAGGTTCATATTGCCAAAGAAATCCCCAAGATTAGTTGTGGTATTAATATAGTCCTTAGACCTACTTAAAAAAACCGCATGAACATGCCATATCATCTATGCATACAAAGTCAACATTTAAATGTACATTCTACTCTTACATTTTCATAGTAAATCAAAAAGAACGGTTGAGAAAATAACAAAAAATAGTATGGCAATTAACCATTAGCAAAAAAAAAACTATTAGTAACTAAAGAATTAACATTTTCCTTTGTTTTATGATATCTTTCTTCCTTTTTTCTATTTCCTTTTTTTATAAAAATGTAAGGATAAAATGGATATTTAAATGTTGACTTTGGCTGCAAGACCTCATGGCATTTTCAGTGGGTCAAAGCCGCACGACAATGTTTAGGGGCTTATTTGAAATTTGGATAACATATAACAACGAACACTGATTCAACCCCTGAATAAAAGTTCAAGGACCGAATTTACTATTCACCCCATTTTTAAAATTTCTAGCCGAAATGATCTACCATTTGTACCTATCACCCACCACCCTTAGAAATAGACGTTTCCAAGACATAAAACCCTACTGTAGATAAAACGCCAAGGCCGGCCGCAGGGTGCGCTGGCTGAACAGAACAACACACATGCGGATCGAGATCGATTCGGGTGTAAGTGGTACACGTACGTTGATGCGAACACGGACGAGGGACGATCCATCGATGGATCGATGTGGACTGACTGATCGACTCGCCTCGCTGCCCTGTTAAATTAGCTGGTGCTCGTTTGGAACCTACCTAGGTTCCCATCGGATGGCCTAATCAGCCAAAGAAAAAGCTAAATTTTAAATTTTCAAGCTTAATTTTGAGATATTTTCAACGTAGTTTCTTTTTCAACATTGGCTTTTAAGTCAAAAAACACATTTATAAAAGTTTCACCTGCAAATTCATTTTTATTTTCTAATAAGCCTTTTTGCTTATTAGAGCATCTCCAGTAGAGGTTCTAAACACAGCCCCTATACTAATTTTGAGAGTTGAGACTAAAAAATCAGGTCCAACAAGACCCCTACTAAAGCCCCTAAAATAGGAAGGCCTCCAAATTATCCCCTCAGGCCCCCAGTCCCAGGGGCTTTCTCCGCAGCCCCCATCCGCGGCAGAGACGCGCGGGCACTTCTTTTTTCGCGTGAAATATCCTGCTAGCGGCGCCTCCACGGATCTACACCGCTCCTCCTGGCCAGCGCCCTCCTCCCCTGCCGACGCCCTCATCCCGGGTGGCGCCCTCCTCCCTGCCCGTCACACTCCTCCTCGGTAGGCCTCCTCCTTCCCAACATCCTCCTCCTGGCCGGCACGGCGGCACCCTCCTCCCCTGCAGGCGTCCTCCCTGGTGCCCTCCTTCCTGGCCGGCCACCTGCCCACCCGGCAATATCCTCCTGGATCCTGACGCCCTTCTCCCTGGCGCTAGTTGAAGGTATCATGTTTTCATTTTTCCAGTGGATTTGTGGATTGAGTTATATGGTAGCACCTAGCGTGTTAGAGAGAAAAGTTGTCAGTACGAAAATGTATATTTGGAGAAGAAATGGGTAGGAACTAACCTTCCACGATGAGATGGTTTTGTTGTTTTATTATGTGATTTTGTTTTCCTCAAATGTTTGACTGTTAATTAATACAATAATTAATCTCATAATCCATATGTAATTATACTTTCTTTGGAATGATCTGATTGATTTTTTCCTGAATAATCTAATTTATTGAAAGTAGGTTCCTAATCTTGTAGTTTCAGAAATATGAAAAGTAGCCATGCATACGCGTATAGGAAACATAGTTTGGATAGTAACTCCTTCATTGACAAATGAAAATCTGAATCCATGTATAATATGGTCAGGTGAGCTCATGTAATGATGATTGATTTCAAGTAGTTAAACAATTGCATTAGTAATAAGGTCAACACAAAAAAAAACTGTAACTGAAATTAGCAGGGGGAAAGATAAATTGGATCGAGCTAATATGGTTTTGGGAATTGTAAGTTTTGGATAGTGCTATATGGTTTTCAGTGTGATTTTCAATATGCATGACTTTGAGACACTGTGCCAGCTGAAATCTTGTGATCATATTCTAGAGGGTATGGGTGTAGTGCTGCTTAATTTCCTGAGCTACACAATTTTATTTATACCGATGTTAGTTATATGCAGGTTCTTCGAGTAGACTGTTAAAAAAGAGAAAAAATAAGCTGCTTTGGGGTGCTATATGGTTTTCTTTTTAATTCAATTTTGTAGAGCTCTAGCATAACCTGTTCTAAATTCTAATGATTGGAAAAATTTGCTACCATTATGCATTCTACCAACATATATTAGCTAGTATCTGCCATTTTTCCTGAGATTGATTGGAGAAGTTGTCAATTTATCTACTTATTGCAGTGACTAGATTGTGATGGCAAATGAATGTGATTCCTTTGTGTGCATGATGTCCGAAGAGACCCATGTTGAGGCATATTCCTTGCCAATGCAAAATGAAGACCTTCATACTTCAACAAATGGTGCAAAAGGAAGAGCCAAAAGATCAAGCAACTTTAATCGTAAGGAGGACATTCAACTGTGCATTTCATGGCAAAGCATTAGCTCGGATCCTATTATTGGCAATGAGCAACCAGGGAAGGCATATTGGCAAAGGATTGCAGAGCACTACCATGCTAACTGTGATTTTAAGTCTGATAGGAATGCAAACTCTCTTGAGCACTTTGGGATAACATTCAGAAGGAAGTAAGCAAGTTTCAGGGCTGCTACGAGCAAATTGAGCGTCGACATCCAAGTGGCATACCACATCAAGAGCTTGTAAGTTAAATTGTTTATTCATTATTATTAATAACAATCTTGTATGTATGTAAACTAACACTTGAATTTTGCTTCAGGTTCTTGAAGCTGAGGCATTGTACTCATCCAATGCATCGAAGAATAGGGCATTTCAGTTTAATCATTGTTGGCTCAAGTTGAGGAATTCTCCAAAGTTTCAAACTCTAGAATCCCACAAGAGGCCAAGGTCTAGGAAGTCTTCCACCCCAATTGAGAGTGCTAGTGAAGAAGATGAAGAAGGAGATGATGCTAGGAAGAGTACAACTCCTGATTTATTACAGCCAAGTGCTAAAAAAAGACCAATGGGTAGGAAGCAAGCAAAGGAGAAGATGAAGAATGGAGAAGATGGACCATAAAAGGAGGCGATGAAAGATTTGCTTGACGCCAAAGAGAAAGAAGCTAAAGTGAAAGAAGAGAGATGGAAGGAAACTAAGGAGATTCAAGAGCGCAAGCTCTTATTTGCTGAGCATAATTTAGTGTGGGATCAAGAACAGAAGATCATGTTTTGTGATGTTTCCACATTGGAACCAGATGTGAGAACATATGTGTTGGCTATGAGGACACAAATTGCAGCTTCAAAGGTGGCTGCCCTCAATGGTGGATTTGATGGTAGTAGTGGCTTTGGAGGTGAGTTTGGTGACGGTAATGGAGAAGTTTGAGCACTTCGATGGAATAAGTTGGATCGTTTTGGATGATCCACGTGTCCTTTGCTAGTAGGATATATCATTTCCACGATTGGTTCTTGGAGTCCTTTTGTGTTAATTTCTGCAATTATCTAAGTGTCATTTGCTAGTAGGATATGTACTACTTTTAGATTTGTTATTTTTATGATCGAACCATTCATTCTAGTAGGGTGTGTTATTTTTAAATTATATAGTGCATCTCCGCAAAAAAAATAATGCATCACTAGGTTCACATAGCCTATTGTGGTGATATGGAGACAGACAATGACATGTTGGTGAGCAATTTTCGTTTTCATTGGTGAACTATAAATTTTGGTTGCATGTTGTTGTATATGGCATTCTGCCCACACCATATTTACATGTTTGAAAATTTTGATTTTGGATTTGAATTGTGGCGTTTGAAATTGTAAATTTAACTATGGTTCAATTATACGCGTTAGAAATATTTATGTTTAATTATTGTGGTGTTAAACATAGTGTAAAGAAGGATTGCATGTTAAAATAAAGAGAAACATGAGTAGGGGCTAAGAAATAGGGGCTATTGCTAGAGTTGGAGGTATTTTTTTGGATCCTTAGAAGATGGGGGCAGCCCTCATTTGACTTTTAGGGGCTTTAAAATAAAGCATATTGCTGGAGATGCTCTTAGAAAATAAGACAAACGATGGGGACCCTTACTGTGATGGCCGGCGATGGGTAGGGAGACACACACGTACTAATCTCACTAGCTTCTTCTTTCACGACCTAGCAGTGTCGGAGTCAGAAAATTATTAAAGGCTAGCGTTAGTTAAGATAGAGCTCAATTGATAGTATTGAATCTAAACGATGATTTAACAAAATTTAAACTAGATTCTGGAAACATGTATAAGGCTCAAGCCCCCCTGTCTATTGAAGTGGGATTGAGATTTATATGGTTTAGGAGTTTTTATCCGGATCAAAATTTTGGTGTTTTAGTTTTTTTATCTGGCTTTTCGATTTGATTTTCGTATCAAAATTTTGGGTGGGTGGTATTTGAAGGTGGTTATGAACTACTGCTGTGAGAAATGAGGAATTAGGAGTACGAGTTTGTTTTTAAAGTAGCGGAGATAAGCACTTATAAGGATGGAGTTTGCCGAAGATTGATACGATCGGTCCATCACTACAATCCTATTTAGGGCCTGTTTATTTCACAAACAAAATTTTTCACGCTGTCGCATCGAATGTTTGGATACATATATAGAGTATTAAATATATAAAAAAAACTAATTACACCGTTTGCCGGAAAATTGCGAGACGAATCTTTTAAACCTAATTGCGTCATGATTTGACAATGTGGTGCTACACTAAACATTTGCTAATGATTGCTAATGACGGATTAATTAAGTTTAATAAATTTGTCTCGCGGTTTCTTGGAGGAATGTAATTTGTTTTGTTATTAAACTACATTTAATTCTTTAAATGTATGTCCGTATATCCGTATATCCGATGTGATATGCAGAGGTAAATTTTTTTGCCAACTAATTAAACCCTTAGCTTTGTAGCTCGATTGATCCTATATACTACTGGGTAGGGGGCAGATCCAACATGATTGGCTCAAGCCCTGCCCCCAACCTCATTGGATCTCCATCTCCATGGTGAGAAGGAGAAGGGAAGGGAAAAGAAGAGTAGAGGAGGATGGAGGAAAAAGAAGAGAAGATAAGCCTCCCTCCATTCAATCCTAAGGTCCATCCCTTCATCACGGGCGTATAGCTTCGTCTTGTTGGCTAGCAGCAATGGATAATTGTATATGCATGGACCAACAAACGAGTAACTCATGCCTCCTTTGCATGGTAGACGACCGATCCTCCCTCAAAACTTCCCATGGCGATCGAATTAAACCAGCTGGGAGCAGAGCATCGGCACATGCAACATATTTGGAAGGTTGTGAATGATCGGTAGTAGGGACTAGCAGGGAGACGACATAAGACAGAAAGATCTGTAGATCCTGTAAAGAGTATATATATCAGGATATGCATGTGTGCTACTTTTGGCTGATTTGCTAGAAAACTTTCGCAAGTTTTTTTTTCTTCCAAAACTTTTAGATTTGTGACCATTTAATCGTTTCGAGATTTGTGCATGAAGGAAAAAAATGCTAGAAAAAGAAATTTTCACACATGTCACGTGTAAGATCCCAGTGATAGCTAACTAAATAATAATTGAATGCAAGTTTTATATATTATAGTTACAGTGTAGATGTAGTTACAGTGCAGTTAAAATATAGTTACATTTAAAAGTTCTCGACTCAAAAAAAAAACTTGCTGCAATTTTTTAATACTCCCATATCTGGACTATGCTGCTCCATCATGCATGCGCCTAATTACCATGCCGAGAGATTGATCGGATTATAACTGAGAAAATTAAAGATTGAACTGCTGTCATATTGAAGCTAATAGGGCTCCTTTGGACTAAAGGATTCTCATAGGATTTTGAAGGATTCAAGTCCATAGGATTTTTTCCTACTTGGTTGTTTCGTTTGGATTGTTTTCCCATAGTTCAATTCTATTAGAATTTTTCACTTGAGCTCACACCTCATTTTATTTTTCCTTTGAAAAGTACAATGCATCTTCTCTTTATCTCTCTTCTCTCTAAAAAGCTATTGAATTCCCGAGATATTTTCCTGTGAAACGTCCAAACACATTATCTTTCAAATATCAGTGTTTTGGATTCCTATGGAATTCATCTATATATGATATTTCAATCCTGTGTTTTCTTTTCTATTTTCGTGTTTCTAAAATCATGTGTTACAAAACGAGACAAATAAAAAACACATGATTAATTAAGTATTAACTACTATAATTAAAAGAATGAATTTGTTTGATTTCTTAAGAGTTTTTTATACGAAACCCTAGCAAACGCCAATGTAGTGGCTGGCAAAAATGGCTACAACCTGCAAAGGCCATCATTGTCGCATTGGTCTTGTACTACGAATTTAGATAAACTCTTGGTCTAAATTTATAGTATTATGATGTGTCACATCTAATAGTAGCTTCTTATATTTTGAGACAATGTTAGTTTTTTTAAGGAATTAGTATTGGTTATTGGTTATCATCCTAGGTGTTTCACACTTGCAAACCCTAGCAAACGCCAGTGTAGTGGCAGAATAAGTTCACCGGAGGTCCCTCAACTTAACCACGAGATTTTTTGAGGTCCCTTAACCACAAAACCAGAAATGTGCACCCCTAAACTTACACAAACCGTGCACTTAAGGTCCTATGGCATTATATATGAGTGGTTTCGCTGACGTGGCATCCTAGTTAGCAAAAAGAATAAAAAAAATACGTGGGACCCACATGTCAGTTGCACATTTGGGTCCCACGTATTTTTAAAATTCTTTTTACTGACTAGGATGCCACGTCAGCGAAACCACCTATATATACTGCTACAGGATCTTGAGTGCATGGTTTGTGTAAGTTTAGGAGTACACATTTCTGGTTTTGTGGTTAAGAGACCTCAAAAAATCTTGTTGTTAAGATGAGGGACCTCCGATGAACTTATTCCTGTAGTGGCCGGCGTGGCGAAATCCAAGTCTCAGCACCATCAGCATGAGCGTCGTTACCTCTTTGATGGGCTGACCAAATTTGTTTGGGCAAATGGGCCTAATTGTCGTCCCAAGTTTTCTTCATTGGGCCGTGCAAGTTTCAGAAAGGGCCAGTTAAACTTGGATCCAGTTCTTCTCCAACTAGATGGGCCCTTCTAACCTTAAAGGCCTAAACCCACCCATCCAGATGGAGTCCATTTCTGCTTAGAATTTTCTTTTTCATTCTGAGAGGCAGAGACGCATGCAGTCTCTTGCCAATATCTATCTATCTATCTATCTATTATATACTTTAAGTCCTTTAATCTTCCTATAAACACTACTAAGTTCCCATGTGGTGTTCCTACAAGCACTCTTATATAACAACAGAATCCGTTTATACTTACCTAATAAAAGAGTCTGCATACCGGGAAAACGTACGATGGGGCCGGAAAAAATATACCTTTACGTACTATATTCATTTGAAAAAGTACGTACCGTTTACCGATGGAAAAAATACATTTACCTACTGTTCATTTGAAAAAAAAAAGGACGTACGTTAAACAAGCTATAAAACCCTAAAGAAAAATATATGTACATGTCAGAATCATCATTAAAAAATAGACGATCTTTTTAAAATAGGATTTTCTATAAAAAAAATAAAATTTATTACTTCACAAATATGGTCACGTGATGCTTCTACAAGCACTCTTACACCGTCATGTGGCACTGTGTAATCTCGCCATCGATTTTTATTTAAATTGATAGACATGTTATGAACAATAGGTGACGAAAATAAACTAGATGCTAAAATATATATCTTTATCAAAATATAAATATTGATATGATACTCTAAAGATTGTTACGGTCGTATGTATGTTTAGCGATACATTTCTTAATGATCAATCTCACTCATTTCAAAAGAAAATATTTTATCTATTCCATAAAAATTTAAGCAGTATTGATTAACACTGTAAACAAATTGTCTCTACTCAAAACGTAAAAAAATTTATGGAAAGAATTATTTTCATCACATCTATCTTCTCTTTCTTTCTTGAAGGGCATCGAGCAGTTAGCCAGTTAACACAACTATAGGAGGGACGTAAATATGATTGAGTTGAGACAGACTCAATGGAGGTCACCGT